TGCCATGCTCACTACAGTGCATAAACCTTTACAAGTTACTCACACAGCAAATCACCTCTCCAAAGTATGGGCTGCTTTCTCCTGGCCCATAGAGTTGGGAATCTTAAGCAGGGAAATGGTGACATCCAGTGCTCAGATACTATGTAAAGCATATGCATCCTCCTAGTGCTTTCTGTTTGCTCTAGCTCACAGACACGGCCAGCGTCTGCTGCACAGATGCACCAAGGCACAGATGTATTATGTTGCAGCAATGCACTGAGGACACCCAAGGTAAACTAAGGAAGAATTTACATCTCACTTTCAGATTTTCCTCTCTGACTGAATAGCAACAAAAAAAAGCAGACAACTTTGGAAACAATACCTCAGCCTGCAATTGTGATGTCTTCTCTTTTTTTCCTGCTTGCCAGACTGAGCGTATTTGAGATCAGCCTTTACGGAATTCTGTTGATGAAAGAAAGGTAGAAGCAGCACAGCTTATATTAGCTGCTCCTGCTAGGATTACATCTCTGAGAACACTTTCCTAGCTACCTGAAACACTGTTCTGATAGAAAACGAGCAGATGAGTCTGCACACCCCCCCACCTGTGAGTTATTTCTTCTTCCCCCAAAGAGCATCTCAACACCATACCCTAATCAAGATGCTACAGAAGAGTATGAAAAAAAACAGGAATCAAAAGGCAGAATATTATTTGAAAAAATTAAAAAGAAACTTTTTTTTTAGTGAAGAGTGAAAACAAAGATGTGCACATGTACATTCAGGCACACAGGTCTGCCTCACAGACCTCACCCACTGTGACAGCAACCCACCAACATCTCTGTATCGCTGTGACCATTTCTCAACCTCTGCCAAGCTTTTCTTTCAAGTGAGGATGCACTTAGAACTCTTCTAAAATAAGCCAGGTCTGGTACAATCTTTTAGCCAGCTGTCTTATTTTGAAGATAAGTTTGCACAATTATTGCTATCATTATTATGAAAATAGGAAAAAAGAAAGTAGGATCTTCACCACTATTGTTACTAAGAAATGTGTGAGATGGCAGAGAATAAGCATCCTGGCTATAACATTTTGTATGTAAAAATCTAAGACTAATTTATAAAACTTTCAGCAGGAACAATTTAATTCAAGGAGCAAGGAAATGACATCCTTTGAAAGACAGTATGGATCCCAGGTTAACAGAATTTCTCATTCTTTTTCCTCAGACACCATTATCCCGTGATGCCAAAATCTTCCTGGAGCAGTAAGTTACAGACCAACCACTGAAGTAGTTGCAGGTTTAGTTTCTAAGCTTAGGTGCGAGTAAATCTCCAAATGTGGAAATGTAACTACCACCTTAAACAGCAACTATACATAATAAAGTATTAAGTACAAACCCTGTTTTTTTCACAGCATTTATCTTTACAGATCAGACCAGCTCTCAGTGATGTACAGACTGTGCAACTTAGGACAACTGGCAGTACAGAAGGGAGAAAAGTTCAGAAATGCTCTTCCGACACACAACTAATTTTATATTAAATGGAAAAATAAACAAAGATGTAATTTATAAGTAAAAAATCAGAACCTCCATCATTTTATGAAACATTCAGTGTTAGTGGGGCCTGAATGGACACTTGCTCAGCAGGTCATGCTCAACAGACCAGTCACTTGGCTGCAAACAGCTGATGCCTTCTCCAACTGCATTTGCCTGAGCAGTTTGCCTTCCATCCCAGGCACACTCACTTACTGCACTGCAAGTGCCAGAATCTCAGTGTTGTGCCTCAGTACTTGTTGCTTCTCTCCTATCCCCGGATGTTGTGATGTTGCTGCAGAGATATGATCTGGTCCTGCAGATCACCCCCTAACTTCCACCAGAAACTTGACGGGTCCATTTGGTGCAGCCAAGGTTTATTCACATCATCATTTGCTCAGCTCAGATGCCAGTAACATCGACAAATATACACATTTTCATCCTATAATTTTAGGAAAGTTTAAGCATTACTTTTTGGTGTTTCCAAGTAATCTTAAGCCACCTTACTGTTTGTGATTTCCATAAAGTACACAAACGTATTCAAAACAACAATTATTGGCTAAAAAAGCAGCGTGGTGAAGCTGCTGAAACACATTACCTTGCACTCAACAGTTACTTGAGGATAGTGAGAGCACCAATTAGTACGGCCTGCGGCCACTCAGCCTCAATGCTTCAGTGCACCAAGAATGAATGCACTCCTGAAAAAATGATTATTTTGAACATATACTAATGTACAATCATCCATTAACATGTAAACATTACAGCAGTGGCACAGAAAATTGAGCTTTAAGCATTCAAGGCAACTCAGCTATGTGTAACTACGCTGCTTTTGCCTGCCTGCAATGCCATCACACGTCATTTGGCACACACAAAGAACTTGCAGCCAGAACGGCCTTAAACAAAAGTTTAAGTATAGTTAATTATTTTTTAATGAATATTTCTCTCGCTCTAATGAATTCCGTAAAACAGAAACACTCACCTTAAACCCACACACACAAACCAGACTGAACAACCTTGTGTGCTCTGCCATAGTTACCCTTCTCATTTTCTAAGGTATTTCCAACAGAAAAATGTATTTGGGTACAACACTGGAATTTGTGTCATCGTGACCAAGGGATTACAGTGCAAAGCAGCTCTGTGTCCTGGTCCCCATGGAAACTGGATTCAGATGCTGTCCTTTGCTCAGTGCAGCGCCCAGCTCAGAGCCTTTGTGCCTGATGAGATTTCTTCCCCAACCTTCCAGCAACAGACCTCACCGCTTCCTCCTGACTCTTTCCTAATTGAGATGCAAATTAATCTCTGTGGCTGATTACACTTCCCTTAAAGCCTCTGACAAGGGCAGCTGGAACCAGAGTTTGCGGACTTCCCTACAAGTGACTTCAGCTGTCACTACTGACAGGACGCTGCCAGACCCAGCAGCACGCGACCCCACAAAAGTTACGTCTCAAGTGCTGCCAAACATCACCCTTCCCTTTGCTAGGATTATTGCTTCTTGCTTCTCCCTTCTGTACTATTTGTTGGGAGTTATTTCACCTTTGAGATATTTTCCTTCACAGTATGACAAAGTCGCCGAACACTTTTAATTGCTTTTTACATTTCTGGGGCTGCTCTTCTCATTCCTCCAAGTTACAGATAGCAAAGCGACATCAGGAGCAAACTCATTCACTGAGCTTGCACTTTCTGGGAGCTACAAAGCACTGTTAGTGCATTGGACAAATTCAAGCAACTCCTTCATGGAATATACAAACCTACATTATACCTTCTGGCTCACAAAAATATTCAGTCTATCTTTGTCCTCATAGGGAACAACTACTGTTGATCCTTCCAGTGAAAAAAGTTTCATTTTTTATAATTAAAATTGTGGATGTGTTTTTCTCCTGCTCCAGTGCCATCCTGATGGGACCTTCCCACTACGACATCTTTGTCCTGTTTCCGAAATCCCTCAGCTCTCTTTCATCCATCAAATAGAGATGTAGCAGTCAATCCACTACAGATGTCATTGGTACAAAAGCAGACACAAAAAAGAAAAACAAGAATCTGGGGACAGATATGGTTTCAGATAGACCTCAAACATATGCTGAGATGTGGCGTGTGCTGTCACGTTCATGCTGCTCAAGTTTCACTGCAGACAATGAAGGGCCCAGAAGGGGACCCTGCAGGAAAGTGAGAGCACAGCAAACTGATGACAAACTGAAAGCCAAAAGATGAGCGGGATGCAGAAATCTGAGGTTGGTGGTGGCACTACTCAAAGAAGCATTAGTCTCTCTTCATTCCAGTGAGCGCAGTTTCTTATGTTACTTTTACCACAGTGTCTCATTATTACAAATTACCTACACAAGCAGATGGATTAAGCTGAATTCTGCATAGAAGAACTTCAGTCATTAGCTAGAATTCTCTCATTAAACAGAAGTGGAAAACCTGGCAAGTTCTGAGTCATCTGTTAGGTGCTGCCATGACTTTGCAACTGATGCACTGAATTGAAATAGTTACGCAACAACCACCAACTGGCTTTGTTTTACACACGAAATGGGTAAATAATGAAGTTAATCAGAATGACATTATTTAACTACAGTGCTACTTTTAATTTCCTACAGCACATGTGGGGTAAAACTCAGCATTTTTTTTAACAAAGAATATTTGGAAAATATAGTGTTTTAAAAATGTGCATCTCAGAGTAATTAATCAATGCTGTTTCAAAGATCAAAGCACTTCCAAATTCTTTCTCAAACTCCTACTAGTAGAAAAATTCTCAAATAAAACCTTCCCCAAAGAAAACCAAGCAAAGTGAGTGCTGTTACTGACAAAACTGAAATGATTAACAAAACGAGCTATAGGACATTTCAAACATAGTTATGGCATTGTGAGAAAATCCTAAAAACAGTGAAACCAGTTAGTCTGCATATCATATCAGAATAACCCAGTTAGTATGCGTATCATATAAGAATAAAAGTTTATCTTGCAATCTGCAGAAGAGATACCATCTAGCTATCTTCCAGCAACTGTAAGAAAACACTTTCTGAAAATCCCCTATTACAGAAAGTGTTTGATTAAAAATGGAATTAGGGAACCGAAATATCTGTCTCAGAAGCCAAATCCCATTTGTCTTATTAATGTAACAGGACCAACCAAACTGGAATACCTTCTTTTATCAGGTAAGAACACCACTGCTATCTGTGTATTAGCTTAACATACACCGTAGATAACTTTCATTACCATGAAAGAAAATGGAACATTGTCACTACTTACTGTTCAAAGCATCACTGTAAGTCCAAATCCACTTGTTTGCCTGCTGCTGAGAACATTCTTGTGATCTTTGTTTTTTTTTTTAAGCACTGAATGGCAGCAGGGTGTGAGTGACTTAAAATTGAGCTTGACACGCAGAACGCTCTGACCTTTTCCAGCAAGTATTTTCACTAATGCTTACCTCCTAGCAGCAGAATATTCAGAAGAACCCTACCCTTCCTCCAAGGGAAACTTTGCATCAACAGGAAAGGATACAAACTCTGGTAGAGAGGGATAAGCGATTTGACGGCTCTGCTGGCATTGATGCACGTGGCACATATGAGGCTTGGCAGCAGCTTTGCAGTCACAATGGCTCCATCAAAGAGAGGACCAAAAAATGGCACCTGCAGACCCCAAAATGAAAACAGCACATGTGAAATTGAGCCGAGGGCAGCTAAGGGAAGCACAGGAGCAAGTTCCAAAACGAAAAACAGAAACAGTAAACAATAAGCCTGATTCCCATGGGATTTCCACAGCAAGGCACCTGCTGCTTGAGGAAGGTGAGAGGGAGGCAAGAAGATGAAGACTTCACCCTGAACAGCTCAAGGCACTTGAGATATTCAGCTACATTACAAGCAACAGTTTGCACAGTCTCCTCTGCAAATCACAGACAGACAGAGGCTGTGAATCAGTGTGGCAGGCTGGGTGCCACACTTGCTAGCACATGTTGCATCTTGCATTATATAAATACAGATTATTGACGTTTGGAAAAATAAGCATCAGCCCCACAATAAAACTCTACCAAACTATTTTGCCAGGAAACAGTATGAGCACATTGTTGTACATACTGACATTTGTAGTATAATGCTCATCTCCTATTTTTTAAGTTCTTAATCTTTTGTAATTATGCTTGATGTGTATTTGTACATTTCACAGTATATTCAACATGAACTTATTATATACATTAGCAAAGTTTGCCTGTGAATTGGAAGTTAATGCTCCATTTGGAACAGATACTCAGAGAGATTTTCTGTCTTGCATCTCAGCAGGACATTGATTCACTGACTGACTCCTCCACTGGCAGGAGCTTTTGCTTCAGATATTATTCCATAAGCTCCTTCCATGGACTTTTAAAAGAAAAAAGTTGAGCTGATCCAAGATCAGGAAATGCAAGAAGATGGCATCTCTTTGAGGCAGTGCCCCATAGGTACAGTGGGCAGAGGCAATGAGTCTGTCTCACAGACAGTACCAAGATGAGGGAGCTGTGTTACTGCAGGGTTACCTCCAGAGGAGCCCACCACATCTCGTCATTTGGTGGCATATGGCTCTTCAGACAAAGGCAACGTTAAGAAAAAGAGAAAAGAGGCCCAAAGACTTTATAAAAGTGAAAAACGCCTGCAATTAGGTAGGTATAATATGCTTTGCCATATCAAGAACAGAGAGAAACACAGTGATTAACTGCATAGGAGGTTTCATTATTGACAAGTAGTCAAACTCACTTCCCTGTCACAAACGCAAAATGAAAAAAAAAAATCTAAGTAGAAGCTAGCAGCAATTACCAATATTTAAGCTATGGATTTTTTCCATCTGTACAGAGGCTTATCACATAAATAAATACCCTCCATTATTCTTCTGCAACTGCTCGTGGGTGACTGTGACAGTCATTCAATAAATGGACAAAGGGAATAATATAAATCCCCTGCATCTAGGGAATTCCTCTAATTAGAAGTGGCAATGAATTACAGAAGAAATTTGGATTTAATGTAACATCTGCAAATGACAGCTGTCTTCTCACAGTTATTTTGTCATTCCTTTACTTACAATATTGCCTCCTCCCACCTCCAAAAAAAAAAAAAAAAGATTAATGCAAAATCTTTGCACAGCATTTTGCTTTATTTCATCGTGCTACCATTAGTAACTGGCCAGCTGGAAAGAAAAGTGACAGGAAGAAAGTCTTTGCCATGGAAGTGATAATGTTCCACAGCACCAAGTTCCTCCAGCTTATGCAGTAACATTTCTAGGTGAAGTTTTTAACACACACACTCTACCTTTCAAGTATCCACAAAAGGAGATACAACGTAAATCTCCATTTTTATGCCAGTATGAACAAGCAAGTGAAGTACATATTAAACATACCAAAACTACATGCACATGTGAATGCTGGATGTTTTAAGCCAGATCAGCAATGTACATATGCTACAACACAGAGGAATTGATTCTCATTTTGACTGTAAGCAATTTTTGCTTGCTGGACTTACTTCCAGTATTTCAGAAACACCTGGAGCCTAGGGAGTGTGGCTAATTGTCTTCACACAGGATTACTGAATTTATACACTAAAAATACACATGAAGTGTGTTCATTCTGCACATCATGTATATGTGTGTGTGTAAATACTTAACTATGCTCCTATTTCTAAAAGTCTTTCACTGAGCAATTTCTCCAGCATTTTTTTCCCAAAAAATTATCCCCAGTGTGTCAGAATTGTTGAAACAAGAAGTCCAGCAGTTGATGTCTCCAAGTTAAATAGACATGCTCCAACAAACCACACTTTTCTCCACTACAAAACCCCTGCTGAACCTTGCAGGTTGCTCTGCCTGCCTGTGGGGCACATGGGCAGAGAAGCCCTGCTTGGCCCCCAGCCACAGCACTGCCACCAGGGGAAGCAGAAGAGCAATAAGAATGGAAGCACACCACAACTGTGAACTCCACTACGTGGCTAATTGCATGTGATTATTTAAAAGAAAACAAAAAATTGGGGAAATGAAGAAACACACTTTCTTTTCTAAGAAGCAAGCCAGGTTACTTGAAGAACTGAGACCCAAGCACATTCCCTGTCAAGAATTCTTCATGAAGCAGAGTTGGTGTAGGCTTTCTGATGGGAAAAGAGAGCAACAATGTAGATGATGGAAGCAACTTTTTATTGAGTGCGAATGATTACCAAAGCAAGAGAGATGAAACCAGAACCAGAACCAAGAGCAGGGTCATCGAAGTCAATGGGATGCCACGGATCATCAGGCTCCATACGTAGAGCCCACCGTAACGAGGGAAAGGGGACAGCTGAACTCAATGCACAGGAGCACACGCCCCACTCACTGCTTTTCTGCAAGCCAGCATTTAACCAGATATTTGAGAAAAGAGCTGTTTCAGATGGTTACAGAAAAATATATATATTAGGCTTAGGAAGGAATGAAATATTTAAAAGAAGTCAAGGGAAAAATCCTTCCACTCCTAGGCTACCACAAATGTCAAAGCAAGTCATCCATGGACAAGAAATTAATATTCACCACACTGCAACCACCTGCTTCATTATAATTTCCAGGATAAAAAAAATTACTTTTGTTGCACAGAGTAAAAGTAGGCAAGGTTAAATAAACCTTCTGAGCACAAAGAGTTCGGTTCTATAGCAAGCAGCACTAGTTAAAAGACTGGGGAATGGGTAAATTATTGTACCAAATGGCTGAGAATTAATCTCTGATGACTAGCTGCAATCTAACAAGGCATCTGTGTCCCAGGGAACCCGCAGTATGTCCCTGGCGGTATGTGCAGTGTGTAGAGTCTGCCTGGCATTCTTTGTCCTCTTTTGCAGGCAGCTTTTCGTCTCATTGTTCAGAATATCCTCATGCATCTGTGACGCGTGGAATGCATTCACACTAACAGACTTACTATTGTCTTCCCTCAGAAGCTTTGTCGAGCAAAGACTGCATCACGGTTCCTGATAATTATATTGCTTAATTAATCAAGACAAAAAAAATTTGCAAATCATTGCCCCGTTGCCAAGCAGGGAGATAAAAAATGAAAACAATACAAGCTGAAGCAATATAACAAAAGTAACAGCTATCTGATCAGAAATTCTTATATAATGAAGCTATTAATGCTAAATCGGTTAATGTTAACATTGCTCCAGGTGTCTCTACTTAGATGCAAACAAAAAGGCTAACATTATGTATATAAAAGGCCAAATGTTGCCATGGATTCTGTAACCTGATAGAGAGGACAGCCTTTTCATTTGATTAGGGAATGCAATTTAAATACCAGGGACCGAAGCCAAACAACAGACATTTCTCTCTGCAAGCCTCTTTCATTCACCCTGGGGTCAGTAGCTGGTGAACAAAAGGTCAGCCACACTTGCCCTGGAAATGTCTGGATTAATTTTATTACATTGTAATGGTTTGCACTTTAAATGTAGGGATAACACTAAATTTCCAGTTACCTATTATTCTTTCTGCCCGTTGGGTGTTTTTGACTAATATACAAGATGACACAGCCTTTCTCGGGCTGATTCTGAGAATTTTCAAGCACAGAGCTAAACTCTGGATTTCCTTATGGAAGACTCAAAGTTAAAAATCCCAAGAAGTAAAATGCAGAACTCAACAACAACTGCAAAGAAAAGAAAACCCAATATTTCAACGTACAAAAGATTTTCATGTTTGCAATGCCTACTGGCAAGCCTTTAGTTGCTAACGTGTAATAGCCCCATCTAAAAAAATAGTGCACAGCCAGTGAATACATCACCTGATGGATGCATTTTTCTTGGACAAACAGTGTCCCTCACATAAGGAAAACTGTATTTATCACATTGATCACTTTCATAAAGTGCACACTACATACACCAGCAGCTAATAGAGCAGGGCTCTTTTTTATGCATATAGACATGGACTTGCATGCTCTTAACATCTGCTAAAGAAAAAAAATCCACTGCTTAAAAAAAATAAGAATATCTTAAAATGTGGTTGCATAACAATGAGCTAAATGGCACACAAACTCAAATGCTCTGTGTGATGTAAGAATATTCAATGCCCGCTCTATCCCACTGACTCAGATTATGGTTAGGGTCTTGAAAACATGTGAGGTTATGCATGGTGCTGTATGTACAGCAGTACATACATCTTATGAGGTGGATCAATATCAAATGTGGAATTCAAATCTTTATTGTTTTGCTACTACTGGCTCACTTTGGAATTTCATCATGTGCACAATAAATTCCACGGTATCAGAATTCTGAAGTGGTTCTTTAAGCACTGAGCATAATATAATAAAATTAATTGCATATTTTAATTGCTGTTTGCATTTCTAGCTGGGAAAAAATAAAAACAAACTCTAAAACATTGAGCTTTAACTACCAGTCAATCGTGCAGGAGATAGGACAGATTCAGTAAAGCGTTCAAAACGTACCTCTGGTTTCTTCATTATTTCTATGAAAAACATGTGGTTCTTCATCGGATAAATAACAATTAAAACATCTCCAAAATCTGTTGGTATAATGCCCCTGCGGTAGTTCCTGTTGTGTTCAGACCAGACGATGTGAACCTCATCATTTCCCAAGTGACGAAGCTGCAACAGCAAATTGGCTCTTTATTAATCAGAGTGATAACAACAGTTTATGAGGGGTCATGGCTTACAAATTGAATTAGAATGTTCAATACTAGAAATATTTCATTACAGAAAAAAAGTTAAAATATTGTTTTTCTCCATTTGCTCATCAAAAGATCAGCTAAATAATTTGCTTCATTGAGAACACATTGTTTTCTGACGGCTTAATTAAGTAATTATCAAGCTAGCCATTAAAATGATATGTAAATGTACATTATATACAATAATTTAAGATGGGAATCTGAGCTGCTAGAATGAAACGTTAAATACAAGACAACAATTGTCAGTTAAAATAAGGTGGCTGTGACAGAAATGCCTTGACTCTGGATGTCAAGAAACTTCCCAGCATGAATGACTATTTCTCAATTTATTGCATTAAAAAATTATTTTCTTGCTGCCTGTGTGTCCAGAGAAGGCTTTTGTTTGAAAATGCGAGCGTGGTGTTTTGGACCACTGAAACTACAGAAGAATGTGAAACACCAGGGAAGTTACTTTATTTGGAGCAGAGCTGCAAAAAATGCAGATAAATTTTGAGTAGGACATACCCCAAATCCATCTAAAGAACTGTGTGCTCGCTTTGTGATGGGAGGAAGTGGAGCTGACCTAACAGATGGTGAGAAGTATTTGGCAATAACATACAAGCTATGCACAATAGATCCAACTGTAAGCTTTAAAGTTAAAATTTAATCCACGTGCAAAACGTCAGCCCAATTCATAAAGAGAATTTAAGTCCCACTTAAACCCTAGAAGAGCACTACCTGAGTTAGGTGCCAGGCCTCTGACAATGCGTACAACACACCTAACCAAAAAGTCAAAGCATAACTCTGCTTTCTGCATTGGCTCTGTGCAAAAAAAAAGTTTTCATTGGTAAATCATCCACACAAGCCTTGTATCAGCTGATACCATCCCAAAGCACTTCTCTCTTCAGAACCTGATAGAGCCTTTTAATGTAAAGAATTTCAATCCCACAAGGCTGAGAGGCAAAGATGCCCCACTTGTAAGAGAAACATGTGCACCCTTGAACCACGACAGGAATCAAAGCCACAAGTGCTGCTTACAGCTTAGTATCTAGAGGAGTACAATAAAGCTACGCTCAAAGAAGGACTCAGGTTCTCAGTTTGTTTTAAATGACACAGAAGACAGTTGTAATTTATTTAAAGCTATAAATAAATGACATTTTTAATTGTTTGAAGAAAATGCAAACAGTCTGAACCTATAAGAAACGTGGGTACATTAATACTAGTAATGCTAGAGCTTCCTGCACACATAAAATTAGCACGAACTACAGCTGTCATGGCCACCCTGAACATGTTGCCTAGTAGTAAAGGAAAATTTAGAGAGAAGACTGATCGGTTTTACTCCAAAAGGAAGACTTGGAAGATAAGGGTTGGTACTGCCTCGCTGCCTGGTGCTTTGGGAATTATACAAGGCACACACAGCTACCAAAACAGGAATCAAAATACATCCAAGCACCGCTTTTTAATTCACCGTGAATTATTTTGCTAATAATCAAACACATCAGGCTGAAAAAATCCCTAAGAGTTTAAAACTTGATCACACTGAGGAAAGCGAAGCTTGGTAAACAAGACGTTAGCTCAATCTCTGCTTGTTTGGGACAGGAAGAGATGTAAGTAAAACACTGGTTTTGCTGCAGTCCCCATCAAATGCAGAAGAGCGTGTGTTACTGTCTTTGTTTTTAAATCACACGTCCTGAACCACTGCATCCATATAGACATTAAACTGGCACCCATCAAAAACATTTGTTCTCACGAGATCATCCTGTTGATAAAAACCATTAGGACAATCCTGTTGGCGGCAGCACAGCAGCTGCTGTGTTCTGGGGTGGCTCTGTCCAAGCGCAGGCTGTATGCTCGCCTCGATGTCCTCCACGCAGGGCTGCTCCAAAGGCCAAAGGGACGCAGACTGGAGCAGGGGCACGCGCAGGTGGGAAAAAAAGAACCCGCTCTATTACAGCCCACAGCAGTCGAGAAAGAAGGAATCTGTCTCCAAACCCCAACGCAATCCCCAGTGAGGAGAAGCAGCCCGATTGTTTCAGCGCGCACCCAGCCCACCACGCGTGGCTGCGAGGCCCAGCACCGGTCGCGGCACACACCTCGGCCTGACCCCCTCTCCCCACTAATTGCATTACCCAGCCAGCTGGCTCCAGAGAGGAGTCGTCTGTTTGCCCGAAGAATTCCTGCTTGTGGGGAGGCAGGGCTGCTCCTTTCGCTAAGAAACAGTCAGGCCTGACATCCCCATTGTTTGGCCGACAGTGCGCCCATCCTAAAATCTAAGTTTTATTTGTAAATTAACCGAGAAACTTCCTGCCAGAACAGTGCTGCCTGGAGACTGATAATGTGTGCCTTTCATTCCCTTTCACTCTTACTGTATCACTGCCAATTTGTTTTTCTGCTGCTCGCCAGCCCTAGGCTATAAAAGCCTTGTAAGACATAAGTGCAATTATAGTCCTGGAGTCAAATGAATTGGACAAATCCAATAGCACAGCTCTGTCCCCACTTTGCAAACCCCTACAGCAGTTAGATTAGCTGCTAAAAATCTAATCTAGCTCCAGCTAACAAATTTCTGCAGCGAAGGAGCAAGAGTTCAGTATGGGGTTGCAAGCAGATTTCTGAATTGAAAAAGTTCTGCTATGACAATGGGGGAAGGTGGAATAAATCACTTGAAAATTTTGCAGCCCATCTTTAAACTGTTAGATGCAATTCAGTCAGAACAAGATGGGGGACTGCAGGATGCTGCTACTCTGATTGATTTTCATTCTTACCACGAGAAATCCAGATAAAAAAATTTAGAAACGGTGATGCTGAACCCTAGGAGCAGCAATAGATAGCAGCTGAATTTTTTTTGTTCTGTAACTGTACAAGAAATTACTTCTTCCAGGGCTGTTTTATTTGACTTGGGGTAGTTTCTATTTTCTGTCGGTGGTGGTGGTTCTGTTTTTTGTTCAGTTTTCTGAATGAACAATGTATCAGCCTATACTTCATATAAAGGTATACAAAGTACAAATTACTAATGCTCAAAAAGAAAGGTTTGAGTTCATTCTCAGTGGAAGTGCACTTATCCCTGTGAATTTAAAGCAGAAATGAATTTATCCTCATTTTCAGTAAAAATAAAGGAACAGAATAACATATTAAGTAAAATTACTGCATCTGCTCCATTCCCTAGCCCACAAAACTTGTGGTCTGCTTTACTACTTCCTTGGCCAGCAGGTGGTAAGACCTTCTGTTCAGCTCCAGAGCTCGAGAGCCAAGCAAACTGACAGGTATTGAATTCTTTCTGTCTGTAGGCAAAATAAGCAAAGAAACCACAGAAATGACAAAGATTGAGGAGGTAAGAGGGAGTTTAGGTTCCAAATAGCAACCACACAATGCTATCTGATGGAAGCACAAGGAAGGCAAGAAAAAGGTAATGTCTCTCCACTGCATCCCAAATGGGAGCATGATGACATTTTCTCCTCTCAGTAATACTGGTCTCTAACACCATATATTTCTTTTGTAGCAAAAACTAAAATGGAGCAGGTACTATATGCCTTTGAGTACTTCAGTATATGGCCTCCTTGCTGCCAAGATTCACAGGTGGAATTTCAGAGTTTACCTTTGAGGTGGTACGAGCTCTTAACCTGCAGCATGTTTAATACTGTCCTTAGAAATGGTCTGGATACATCACCATGCTAAAAGCACTAGTTTCAAATGTGAGCCATTTAATCCATCAGCAATGCCAATGACTCAGAGATCTATCAATCCCACAGAAATTTTACAGTGCCTCTGAAATGCATATTGCCGTCCACTTTAGCTGCATTTCAGTGAAGTTTGTTAAGAAGTCTGAGCTAATTTGCTCAGAAATGAATTCCAGTTTACCAAACAGCTATAGCAAATTAAATAAAGCTGTTTTGTTCAAAAGAATCATGGAAGATGCCACATTAAAGAAAACCCTGAAGTCATGCAGAGCAAACCACTGCAGGGCCAGCTCCCAAGTTCCAATGGTTTGCCCAAAGCTTTGTCCTGCCTTACAGGAATAGAGCTGGATCCCAACAGGATTTCTATTCCTATAACACATTTAAGGTCTCATTAAGCTCTAGAGCAACCACTTCAAGGTGTATTGTTTGGATAACGTGTACTGGAGCTGGCCTTGTTTCCTAACAGCTTAAGACTTGAAGATGGGAAAATACTAAATGCTTTCACTTTTTGTTTTTAGGGAAGACAACTAAATAGAATAACCAGACTATCCCCATGGCTCCATGGTTAGTTACTAATGTGAACAGGAATTAGAGGAATTAGTAAAACAGACTATTTGCCAGTAAAACCCATTTTTTTCCCCTAGGCTCTGTAAGAATGTACATTTTCCTTCTCCAGGTGATACATTAGTCAACAGCTAGACTAGATATTTCACTGTCTAAGCTAGGTAAAATGACCACAATGAGTCCAGCAAAAAGAAAGACTGAGAAAGAGATGGAAACAGACCTCAAACGTGAGTAAGTCTGCTGCAAAGTAATCTGTTCTCTAGAACCATGTTAAGAATAAATGGGCTTAAACTGAAGCAAAGCAGATAATACAAAATATACTTCCACAGTACAAAAAGTGAGGCCTTGGAGTATGTTGCTGAAGGCAATTATAAAGCATTCAGAATGGGAGTTTTTAACTAGTAGCTGGATAAATACCAGCCAGGAACAGATACAGACAATGAAAAACGGACAGCCCTACCATGGCTCAGTGATAGACTATTCTGTCTCTATCCTAAACACTCTCATGACTGTGTAAATCTACTAATATGCAGATAACAAGATCCATACATGAAGACAACATGGAATTTTCTTGACTTTTTTTTTTTTTTTTAATGAGGTATGTGAAGAAAAGAAAAGCTCCATCTTTACTGGGCAAGTTTTCAGGAGTGGTAATTGGAAATTCCACTTTTTTATTTCGAGGAAAAGATCATTTCAAAACTAGCTGCAGAACAAATAAAAATCATCTGGTGGTATTTATAGCTAATTTGCAGAGCACAACAGTATCACGTGGTACACTGGATGGCTGCAGTAGCATTAATGCACATTAACAACCTGTGTAGGACAAGTTGCCAATCCTAATTAAAATAGCAAAGATTTGCTACGCACCTAAAATCTTCTTTGACTAAGCAGCAGTTGGCAAGCAGCATAATCTCAAATCAGTTGTTAGGAAAGAGAAACCATTAAGTACTGATACCAATGAAATTTTGGGCTGGTTTCTAGCCATCTCTGAAGCAGAGTCTGCTTGTCACAACTGTGAATAACTGGATAATGGTTTTAAATATCAGCTGGCTGCTTTTACTACTGTGCATGTCACTTCTCTTTCACTTCTTTTCTTTTCTGGTGCACACTAGACGGCTCATCTGTAAAGTTTTATTGTGCTGCATTTGGTTGTTTTGTTCTAGCACACTGCAGCAGTTTTGGCAGGCAAACAACACACAAATGAAATTATTGCTAATATTATTACTAATGGTGGTATTTAAGGCTACCATGGAAATGTTAATTGTGTTGCAGAATCCAGAATTTAGATGCCATTTAATTCAGATAATCTAGCTGCAGAGCACCATGTGGCACAGAAAAGAGAGCCTGCTAGGACGAGTCAGCACAATCTGCTCTGAGTATAAACCTTCATTTAAGCACACGAAATCGAATGTTTTGAAATACATACATAGTAACTGACTTACCTTTTTGGTCAGTGAATCATCTGAATCTGATGGCATTCTTGTAGACACATGAAAAATGATTTCCACGGTAGAGGTAGCATAATAGGGTGCTGTTTGTCCAGTGCTGCCATTGCGCTGCAGGCCGCCCATAAACCCACCGTGTGTCGAGAGATCAACCTAAATGATTGACAGTCATAATCAGAAAAATCTATCTTTTCTTAAGGACCGACGAGTAACCCGACTTATTTACAAACCAGCAGCTGGTGGGATTGTAACCACCCCAAAGGAAGATAAATCTTTCCGTACAGCTTTGTCATCTCAGCGTTAGATCTGTTGGTTTCCCATTTTGTATCTGACATTTACTCAAAACAAACAACTCTCTACTACGTACCTATTAGGCTATTCTGCCTTCCTACCAGCAATGGAACAACAGTGCTGTAGGGCTACATGTGGCTCAGCAAGCCCACCCAAAGCATACACAGCGAGAGCTAATTAAAAGGTGCAGAGAAAACGTAAGCACTAAAGACATCTGTACAAGAAATTGAGATTCCAAACTAAAAGAAACATTCTAGAGGAAATTATTCTAAAAGATAATTCAGAGAAAACGCCCTTCTGAAGACAACTCTGTGTCTAAAATTTATGTTTTCCCAACTGCATCAGTCCAGTTGAAGATGCTACCTCTCCTTGGAGACTTTACTTCTCTTAAATTGTTAGATGTGAAATACAGCTACCGTGTATTTCCCCTCCAAAATCATAAATGCCAGTGTCTTTTAAGTTAACAACATATCATTTGACAAAAGCAAACTAAACTCAAGTGTTTTTGCCTTTAGTGCAGCAGTCCTTTGCTTGTGTAAGTGACCCAACCATGTGAAGAGCTAAAACGAGCTACAATTAAGGTAAAATTAAGCTACAGCTTTTAACAATGCAGAAAGCATTCTTAAAATGACCACTGCAGCACCACCTGCCCATCAGAAACAGGATGCAACAACAGTGATAACAAATTATGAAATTAAATTATAAGGGATTGCACTTTGTGCTTGCTAAGCATGCGCAGCAAACAAGTGAGGTAGAAGTGCTGTACACCCTGCTGGTGAAAGGCACAAAAAAAAGGAAGAATTCCTTCTTCAGTCACTCTGACAAAAGCTCTCAGGGCTTCTGCCAGGTGGACAATCTGACCACCACTGCAACCTGATGAGAAGCTCTGGGAAGACTCTCTGAAGCATTCAGTTCTCTCAGCTGAGCTAATGGTGGCTAGAAAAATCTGACCAAAAGGCAGAGAAAAAGCAAGGAGGGACATAAAGTAAGTAAAGGTTTTGAAAATTAAAGAGATGGGAAATTGAACAACAGGGGAAACATTATTCATTTAAAATGTTACAGACCTGGCACACCACAGGCCCGAGGATTTAAATTCACTTTTCAAGCAATATCCATTAAAGCAGAGAGAATGGAAAGATGTTTACTTCCAGCTTCACGTGACCATGTCACACATTAGCCTAAAAAGCATCCTCTTTGTATTCTGTAATACAACATTCTCCTGTTCCCCGTTTCTGATAGCTAACAGAAGTCTTAAATAACCTACAATATATCCCAGCTTGTAGAAATGATGCAAACATCCAAAACATTTGGATTTACAGAATTCTGCCAAATAAAATGACCTTTGAAGTACTGCTAAATATTACTGTGCATTAAAATGTACTTTTCTTTTTCAAGAATTAACAAATGAGCAGGTATACAAGCAGTTTGTTCTCCATTCACCTACTTTAACTGGCTTACACTTGATTTTCATAAGTCTTCACATCATGATTTTGTATAAATATGTGATTTTACCTCCCAACCCAGTCCAGCAACAAAATCTTCATATGCCTGGCTTCCCCTGGCATTGGACAGTATTGAACATTTGTCCTCCTGTCCTTCTGCAATGTAAAACACTGCAATCTTGTGAGTTTCACGGCTGTAATTAGATAAAACAAGAAATGAGAATTACAAAAAGTGCAAGAGGTCAAATTATTCTTTACATCACCTGCACTCTAAAGCCACGTTTCACTCGATGCCTGTTCCTTTGATGCACACAAATGCATCACTTAACTTCAGAATTACGTACGTTCATCTTTTTTTTTCTTTCCCTACAACCACACTGCAGAGCCACTGCTGTTCAGAGAGCAGAGCAAGGGCCATTCTTTCTGTGCATCAGCTAAAGAACTGATGATCAAGTTCCAATTACAGGGTTAATCACTTACATCTGTGCAACCTTGCTGAAGACAGTAATACTGCACAGCTGTTAATGAGCTGTAAAATCTGACCAACAGAACTTTAATTATGGAGTAATGATATATGAGAAAGAAAAAAGCATGTACTGACTTTTAGCTCCTGGGATGAGTTTTACTAGGCTGATGGTTACAACTGATCTGATATGAAAATTGTTGGAATGCAAGAAAATCAGAACTCTACAATTCTGCAAACGTGCCAAGGAATGAAAATGATACATAATATTCAGAACTCTATTCTACCTGGCTCTAAAAGAGTGAAACGAAGATTATCCCTTGAAAGTATTGCTCTTGACATAGGGATCAATGTGCAGAAAATCCCTTTGGGTGAGTCGATGCAAAGTCATCAAAAAATCTGCAACTTCTTCCCTCCCCTCTCAGCTAAAGAAGACAGGAAACAGGCTGGTGTGTCTCACTGCTGGTTATTTTGAATTCTATGCAGACAGTACCATTGAAAATAGCTTGTCTGGTCAGGTGCTGCAACTTTTTAGTAACAAAAGTTCTGTGTTTTCCTACAAGTTCTTGTACTGCTAGCATATGCAATTTCAGTGATTGGTTTTGGTGATGTACTCACTCTTTCTTGTGAAACCCTGAGCTAGTAAACATCACCTACCATTGGCGAGAATCCAGATTTTTCAGTTCTCTCAGTAATTTTGAATTTTTCTTAAGAAGGTGAAAGCTCTTCCTGTAAATACATAAAAATAATTAGGAAAGAAAATGCAATAAGGGATAGACTATTTTCTCATTCAAATTCCTAAGAGAAGGGAATCAATTTAGCGTAACTTAATGAAAATCCATTTTCTTTCTACTCTAAATAATCTGCAGTTGCCTGCAAAAAATATTCATGGATGCAGGTATACGTAAAAGTTCAAAACTGTGCTCTGACTACCAACCAGCTATACAATTCTTGCCTTTTTAAGTGTGCATACATTTGAAAGTAGAAGAGAGCAAAATTTACCTTGAAAATCATCAGACTCATAAGTAAGTTATAGAATTTCAGACTAAGAAGTCTTCCTGGGATGATTGCAAGTCACAAGAGCAGAGCTACAGCAGGGGGGGGGGACAGTGTGTGGATCTGGATTATTTTTTGGGGGTCAGAAGCTGCAAAAGCACAGTAAACATGTCCTGAGCCCTCCGTTCCTACCTTCTATCCCAGGAGTTCATTCCCAAGTCGTTTAACAACAGCCGACAGAAATAAAAGGATGCTTGAGGTTCAGCAGGACGCGGTTCTTCCTGACGGGCCACCTTCATACTGAAGTCTGAGCTGCATTTTAAAATGTACTCGTTTTCCTGGGTACTTTGCCTCATCAGGGCTTCAGTGATTGCATTCTCTTGCTCGCAGCTCATTCCAAAGGGCGGTGGCGATGGCTCATTCAGCTTCCGCTGGGGATGTAAAAGGCATTCAGGACTAGTGTTACCAATCCTCTCCAGTAATTTGTCAAGAGCATCTTCTCCTTCTTCCACCTGAGAAATGTCTTTTTGGGAACTGAAGTGGTGGTCACAGCTGCCTGAAATCACAAATGAGTTTGCTGTGTTCTGCCGTGGAAGGCAGCCCTCCAAAGGTCCATACAATATTCTGCCATCCCAAGAGTACTTCCCTGAGATATCTCTGACAATCACCCTTACATCCGAGGGGGCTACTGCTGGCTCAGTGTCTTTCCTTTTGTCTGCAGGAATTTGGAGGTATGATATAAGAGTACTGTCATTAAACACAAAGAGCTGAAGGTTGGGGCTCCGGAAGACTTCTGATGACAGCTCAGAGGATTCCACATACGAGTTGTCATGATTCTCACTGAGGAGACTGTGGAGGATGGCAGGACCTCCGCTGAGTGGGTAGTGGCTCAAATGATTCACCAGATGAGTCATAACCATCCGTGCCGTCAAAGGTATTAGTTCTAAATTCCTTCTCCTTTTTTCTGAAACAATCAATAGAGGTAACAGATCAGTAAAACCAACAAGAGGTAATTAAAAATAGCATCTGTTAATTTCTGGCTTGTTTTAGAAGGTTATTCTCACATTCATTCCTTTCCAAGACACTATTTACAACCACTGCCCAAGCAATTCTACCCACCACCCATCCTTACTCAGCACTCTTTGAAATTTAGCTTTCAGTGACATCCAGGTCTTCATACACTTTGTAAGAAACACACGCAGCACTGCACAGGGGGCCACAACCCCTGCTGCTATCACTGCAGTTTCACCTGGCACCTTAAGGTGATCCTCCTTACCTCCCACATTCCCACAGTCACCACCACGGCAGTCAGATCAAGAGAGGGACAGAGGAAAAGAAGCAAAAGCAATGGAGAGGTGCAACTAAAAACCATTGGTTCTCCACTTGTAGCAGTCATTTGAAAACAGCATCGTGGTAAAGTTCACTGCATCAGGTGAGAGACTCTCTGGATCCACAGACAGGCGCTCATCACAGGCAAATACATCACAGTTATCTCAAACCAGCAGGGCTCTGGAGTTGTGTTATGCCTCCAGTTCCTCTACTGGAGCACTGTTTCATAGTTATATCTCACTTATGCTCAGATTTTTTCTGTTTTTTATGGTAACTTTGTTCATATTCAGCTTAACTTTGTTTTTTTTCTTCAGTTTACAGTGTTTCTTTCTTTCTTTATACCTTCTAATATACTTCTAGACAACAGGTATATATATCCCTTTTCAGCTTTCATTTTGCTAGCCTCCAAAAATTCTTCAGCCTCCCTCTCAGAAAAACAGGCTCCACACTCTTTCTGTGAACTACCAGGTAGTAAATCTCTGCCTGCTCCAGTCTGAATTTCTTTTTTAAACAATTAACCTAAAACAATTGTAGACCACTATCATCTCTGAGATGAGAACTATCTTGCTCTAACTAAAACAACAAACACAGCTGACATGGACCCTTATCTTCCTGCTATTCACAATGCCCCTACTCAGCAAGAGATCTGTGTAAAATCTTTGTGTTTCCTTTTTTTTTCTTCTAGTTTAAACTGAAAACATGTATACAGAAAAAAAAGAAATTAAAAAGCTGTAGGACTCAAAAACAGTGAAGTAGTGAAGTATCAAAAACTGAATGCTATTTTAAAGCAACATTCTAAAACCAACAATTGCTTGTACTACTTAACACTGCACCTTTACTTTAGATTCTTCTGCAGAAATTAACTAAGGCATATTAATACATGACAATATTTAATTCGTAGTTGAACAGCCGCTGCTTTGAAAACTTGTAACACTGTTTGAAATAAAGGTGGTTTGTAAGATAAAACACTTAAAAATTGCTTCAATATGTTTGGATATATACTTGAGCTGCTTTTAAGGAGTGTGTAACACGATGCAACCAGATCCAAATAATCTCTTTTCACTTTTGACACTGGCAGCACTGTGAGTCAGCAGGAATACTGCATTTATGCAGCTGCAGAATTGGGTTCAAATCACACATGTCATTCTGCAATCACTCAGAACAGGTAAATCATGGAGTCATTTCTAATAAAAGAAGAAAGGCTGCTGCACGCTCCCAAGAGAAACCTGATTTAGAGCTAATCTCAGCTGTTGACTCTGACATCCCAGCACAGACACGCTGGTCCTCATCACGCTCTGTGAATTCTCCTACCTTCGGCAACAGTGAGCAGGTTGCCCAGCTCGGTGGCAGAGTGGCACTGGGCTGGCTCACAGCTCGTGACATTCTCCAGATGCAAAAAGGGGTCATAGTCAGCAGACGACAGATCCGCAAGGCTCAGCACGTAATGGCTTTGCTGGGTGTACGTGCTGGAGCCGTTCACACAGCAGTGCAAAACCTGTGAGCAGACAAGCGCGGGATTGAGGGAGTGATGAACAGTCAGCAGTACCAGCTGTGTACCAGGAGTGACCCACTGTGATTTCACATTATGAAAGCCAGCACACGCTACGAAAACATCCAATTTGGTGCTTTTACAATAACTCTCTTTTTTGCTGCTTGTTCTGTACTTCAACAGTTCACTTCAGGACTTTTGTATTGAATAACTTGTGCATTTTAACAGGCCACTCCAAATTATTCAAACACTTCTGCCGAGATTACTTGCTCTGGATCCCTGCTATTGAGCGTTTTGCCTTTCTCTTGTCATCATTTTCTGTGTTCCACGTCTCCACCTCAAATAAACCACTTTTCTTTTCAAGATCCATCACATTGACCTTATTGTTGTTAGTATTTTAAATTCTTGACTTCTCACCCATATGATTTTGCCCACACCCTGAGAATTCATGTTTCTCTACAGCATGCTTCAAAATCCTCCTGTGCCTAGGAGGATTTGCAAAAAGCATCTTTAAACTTTCAGGCATAATAAATCATGCTCATTCCTCATACTCACTCTGTAAATATAGTCCAGTAAAGGAGCTTTGGATGCATGCTGATCTTCAAGGACACCAGCAGACACTGGCTCCAGCAGCATTTTCATAGGTAATGCCATACACCAATCCAACAAGCAAAGTAGCAATGAAACTATAAACTAAACAGAAACAAATAGCATGGTATTTAGGTATTATCTATCAAATCCACACATGCTTAAATGCCTGCGCTTGAAAGGTTGAAATAAGATTGGTTCAAAGCCACTTCACTCAATGATTTCCTCAAACAGCACAAAGAAAGAACAGAGACTCCTCACTTTGGTGACATACCTTTTTATCTGCCTCCACACAGGAGTATTCAGCACTTGGCAGAAGAAAAGCAATAGTGGCCACAAGGATCTACGTGAAAAGAAGCAGAATTTGAGCACGACGTTTAATACCTTTCACTATAAAGGCAGAGAACTAACTTCATTTGAACAGGGCATGAAAAAGGGTGAAGTCTCTTAGAAGCATTTAGCTGCCCTTGTAAATCAACATACAGGCGAAACAAAGTTTTGCTGAGCATTTTGAAAATAAAAGATGAGTAATGCATGCTGCTCTTCCAACTACAGCAAATAAAACTCTTAACAATACTTGCAGAAGAAACAGAAAATTAGCAGACAGTTGGGGTTCCAGCAGCTCAAGTAAAGAATTAAGACAACTTTACATATGATTTCCATACAAATATCTTAAATTGACGTACTTCAGTGATTTTTCTGGGCAGGGATGATTCATACTCCTGCAGCTTTTGCCAGTAAGAAACAAGCAGCTGAAGAACATCATTGGCTACCTGAGCTACCAGTTTATTAGAAAACTGGAAGAGAAGAAAAGGTAGTCAAAAACAAAATAAATGTGTAGGCATCATACAATGCAATTTATTTTTCTACTTCTTAAATTACTCTCCATCCATAGAAACAATAAAAAATGGTATGCAAAATCACACACTCAGCATTAGGGAAGAGCAGACAACATTAACTGCATAGTCTTAAGATTATAATATCATATTCTCTTATTTTATATATAGGAGTCTCTAGCTGCATATTCACATGCCATTTTTGTAAAAACTTTGCATTTCTATACAGGATGTCACAACTGCCCCATTGAAGAACTGCACATTTATTCCTTAGCAACTTCAAAGGAGCAGTAAGAATCTGGAGCACTCTGACCAGAGATAATAAACTACTACGTATATGCAAAGCTTCAGAACCAGAAGGCATTTTCTAGATGATGGCCAATGTCATTCCTAACATTATGCAGAGATCTCGAGTAACGTCCTGACATTCTTTAAGCAACAGAGACCAACTGTGCTCCTGTAACCTGGAACAACTGTTCCAAAACTTCAAGTACCATTTTCACAAAATGTATGTTAACTACAGAGACTGCTGCAGAATTACCTTCAGTGTCACACCTATGACATTGATTGCTTCCTTCACTTGAGGGTGGTTTGTGCACTGTGTTAGTTCTTCACATATCCAAACTCCAAGGCCACAAATGGCTATGCATCTTTTTTGAAAGAGACAATATTTTTGTCAGAAGTTTTAAGAGTCCAGTTTTGCTTTACCCTTCATTCTTCCCAAATTTGCTCTTTGGAATGAACCACTCCTCCATCAGACAGTAGCTATCGCTGTACAGCTGCACTATATAGTTCCTAACAAAGAATCTTGAAGGAATTTGTCAAAGACTATTCCTCAATCAATCAGGAAAAAAAAAAAATAGCAACAAACCAACAAGCCCAATACACCTAAGATATGATTTCTTCCAATTTTAAGCATATTTTAAACAGAACAGAACTTTGGAAGTGCAAGGCACTTAACCACAATATATGCCATCTTTGGGAAACAAATATTTTTCCTTCAAAGTATACAAAATATAGGCAGACCCTGTAAAAAGAATGAGCAAAGATGGGGAAAGCAGTGTACAAAGATCTCTTTTACCTCCCCCAGGTCACACAATAGGTCAAGATCTTAACAGTACAGGATGGACTTTATCTCAACAGGGCTGCAGAACTCAACAGGTCAAAACACAAGGCAGGTGTAAAAAAATTCAGCTGTACAGAGACTGAAAAATCGGTAGGGAGAAAGACTTCTGACACTTATTTTTCACTTTACTCAGTATTTTACCTTGCAGCTTCACTTGGCTCCTCTGTAGCATTCTTCAGTAAAATATTAATGAGGTAGCACTAAAACAATACAATCAATTACAATAAGTGACTTTTTCATGTATCCACTTTATTTCTAATTGTTTAATTTTGACGTAATCACAGACAAAATGAACTCTAAGTCTCAGGCTATTTTAAAGTACTTACACAACAAGTTTAATTTGTCAAAGGAGAATTATTTACTCATTATAAAAAAAATCAGGTATCCAGACCCTCGTGGATAAATCTAATCGACTCAAAATCATATACAGGCAGCAAGATGGAAATCAGTTCATTTTCGGAGTCGGCAGGTATTACTAACTGGGAGTATTCAGCACTTCCTAATATGATATATGGTGTTCAAGTATTAAGGGAGCCATATTTTGAAAAAAATCAGTGTCTTCTTTAATAAGGAAAAGAGACTTTTAAAATCTAGGCTGCTTTAACATACTTCTGATAAGAGTCTGGGGCCTAATGAACAAATCAAGAGTGGGAGCTGCATGCGTTCTCTCCATTTTTACCTTCAAAAGCCACAAAAGGAATTCAGAGATTCCTCCTTACCTTTACCTAATCTTTCTGCAGTGGATTAGAAAAGTGCCTCACATTCATTGAGGCTAGTACAAGGCTAATTGAACGGGTTTCACCAGCAAGTGATGCTCCAGGTCATATTTGTTGGGATCTTTGGTGGAGAGAGTGTGTATTTTTTTCTCCTTCAAGATTGTTTTTGCTAAAGTCAGTGAATTACAAAGCTTTCCATCCAGTAGAACAATTAACATCCCAGGGTATCTCACTGAAATTACTTACTGGACAAAGATAATTCATGTAAAGCTAGGGGTTCTGTCTAATTGGGGAACTTACTTAACATTTTACTATAATACCAATGAGGCAAAAACTGTGACCCCCTTATGCACACCCCACACTTCTTAGAGGACAAGCTAATATACAGACATGCACTGAATGGACACTTTAAATAATACCACCACCACCATTTAATGAATTGACATTGCAGACATCTGGCTGGAAAACATAATATTTGATTATAGCCAATTCACTCTCTTTGAAAGTAAAATGTAATTTGTACTATCTAGGCTTCGTTAATCTTATGGTGCACGTTAAGCAAAGCAATGCTTATCAAGTACATATGTGTGCTGTTGTGGTTTGGAGAAGAAGGAGGGATTTATTATTTAAACAAAAAGTGTACAGTAAAAATAAAGTGGTTAAATAATAAAGATAGGTTAGGCTACATACAGATCTCCTAATGAAGCGTGGCTTTACCTTCACATCGGCACTCCCCGCAATGATCTCACCAGCTTCTGAAATGGGCTGCAATAGTGGGATTTCTTGATAGATATTTGGAAAGCAAACAAGAGACCCAAGGATGGTATGGGCTTCTGAACGGGGAGCCTAACAAAATGGAAAAGTAAATGAAACTATTTTCTTCTTTCAGCATAGATCTGGCACTGCTTGTACATTTTTGGCCTGCTGAAAATACATCACGCACTAAGTTCTATGCTTGCAGCATCAATGAGGTGTTTTGGGTTTTTTTAGAACACTTTCCATGGAAAGCGGAGCTTTCATTCCTTGTTAGCATTTTAAGCTTTCTCAGTAATCGGGCTGATGAGGTTTGTTTTTTTTTTTTTTTTTTTTTTAAAGAGATGCCAATAAATGAACATCTGTAAGTGCTTTGAAGGACAATGCAGCAAGGCTCACTGCTTCACTTCTGCTGAAACCCGAGAGGTCTGTGTCCCCAAGCCATCCGCTCAGCAGCACAGAGCAGCACTAAAAACATGCGCTCAAAATGGACAGAAAGGTCTCCTTCAAATGCAGTTCCAACACTTCCCTTTTTGTTCCAGGACTGTCGGGTCATTATCCTTATTTTGGCCTCCATCCTTACTTTGCTCTTTTATTTGCCTTCGTTAATCTAATCATTTATAAACCTATTTCTGTTAGCGTTGATACTCGGCAAAACATTCTGCATCACCCAACAAGCTCCGTGCTTTCAATATTCAGCGAAAAACACTAATGGGATTCTGAAATCTAAGCCCTGCTTTTAGCATGCAAACATGCTGCAGCGTTGGTGAGGATATGATTTCTCACACTTTGGCCTTTTGATGAAACACCTTTGCAATAGTAGTGTGTCACCCTACCCCTCGCTTTCACGCATCAGCTGCCATGGTATCTGCCCCAAGAGCCCTGGCTGGCATTGCACTAATGAGCCCACACCTGTTGGAGTGCAGACATCCCGAGCTCATTAGCAAGCGGGCTCCCAGGCTGGGCATTGCCATGCTCACCTCCAGCAGGTCTGTGCTCAGCACTCTGGCTGCTGCTGTGATGAAGTCTCCTATCAGCATCGTAAAGCCAGGCAAGCCCAGGAAGAAAAACCAAGGTGGGCAATGCTTTATGACAGTATTCAAGATATCCTGAAAAATGAAGAGAAATTACCTGCTTGAGAAAGAAATGTCTAAAAACACCCACCAAACCCACCACAACCCTAAAGGGGGAGTTGGAGGAGATTTAAGTTGGTAACTGACCGTTTCCACACTCATCCAAGTGATATTTCACTGAGCCTCACATAACAGCGATACAAGTGCTTTTAGCAGAAAGAGTGTTCAGCATCACTGTGACACTGAGAGTCTGAAATTCCTATTAAAACAAACACCTGCCATTACCAAGTGTAAAACAATTATTCTCTGGTGAAACAAGGCTTTGGATGGAAGACAACCAAGCTGTTAATCAATTTAAGATGGATGTTTTACCCCATTCCAAATGAGTTTTGTTTGTTTTTTTCCTAAAATCACATTACTCTGAATTCTGCAGCCATAAAAATAATGAAATGACACAAACTGCTTTTGCCTTTTCCCAAAGGAGCTCAAAGCAGGTAGCTTACAACTGCTGGCAGCTCTAGCATGTCAGGGATTTTTCAGCCCCTCTGGGCTAAGTTGAGAAACAGTGAAGTCAGATGCAAGAAGCGATTGCACTCAGCACAGTAACACAGATAAACCTGTGTTAACTAGATTGTTACAATCCACTATTCTAAATAATTAAGATAACGGGTAAACCTTGGGGAGGGAGCATTTGATGAAAGTCTTTTTTTACTTTTTACTTGGGTTTTTTTTGTGTGCTTTTTGTTTTAAAGCCTGCACTGCATCTGTAGGAGCAAACCACCAGGAACAGACTGCTCTCATAATCACCCTACGACACAGAAAATATCTGAGTTAAGCATTTCAGCTTGAATCCTTCCCCAGGTTTCATTCAATTCTTCAGACACTTCAGACAGAGACAAGTTCCATATTTAAGTTTTCTTTATAGGAGATCTGCAATCGGGCATGAAGCTAAATCTTCACCTGCTACATTACATAGTTTAATAAATTTATTTGCATACCGATTAGCAGATTATTTCTGTTCTCGATAAAATTTCAAAGAAAAATTGCAAAGGAAAAACAATTTTCTGTGTCTGCCCTTACTGCTTTCACGATGCGTCAGTGAAGAGTTCAGTGTTAGCCCCAGAATGTGTCCTTATGCGAAACTTCTACATCAGAAGCAAAAGAAGTCAGACGGATTTTTCTGCCTGAAGATACGCTTTAGCCACACCAGTGTTTTCTGCGAGCATTGCTCAACACCTGGACAAAAGTTATCTATGGCTTGACTGAGCGTTTACAGCAGCAACATCCTATGAAATAATAGCGTTATATATCTAAAATATTAGCAGATAAATATCGCTCGTTTCTAATGCAGCACCACATAATGCTTCCACTTTCCCGAATTAGCTAGAATGCCACTCGAGTTAATGTTTAAACTAGTTTTAATCACTTCCTTTGATACATTTTAAAGTCAATATCAGTCAAGGCAAACATTCAGAAAGAGAGAGCAGATGGATGCGGCAGCTCATAAAGTGGGTGGTAAACTCCTGCTCGGAGCAGAACAAAAGACCCACCTTTTCATAATTAAGGGGCTGATTAATGCACCACGCTCCTCGCAGCACAACACACCTGTAATTACGACCAGAGCCAGGTACTGCGATGTGTTTGGTCTCTGAATAATTGGGCATCAAACTATGGAGCGGCAGATGGGAGCACACTCCTGTTGACATATGCCACGATAAAAGAGCCCGGGCTAACCTGGCTTAAAAGGTAACAAAACGTAGGAAGTACAAAGAGCTGCTACAAACAAGCGCGTTAACTCCTGCCCTCACTCCATCAATCCCATCTGTTAAACACCGCTGTAACGACTGCCCTGCTTCCTCAGCTCCGGCCGCTGCCCTGAATGGACGTTTCAGAAAATGAGGGTAAAGAAATGTCAGTGAAAGCCCGGCTTCAGCACCTCCATACCTGTGAGTGCACTGCACCGCGCAAAGATGGCAACTGCTTCCTTTCAAACAGGACAGAATATGTGCTGAACATCTCGTACCTGACTTGAGCTTGCTCCAAATAGAACAGATTGGAAAGATACCACCCCCCAGGAAGGCACTTACTGGTAAAATCTGACAAATTTGCTTCTATTTCCCAATTAGCACGCTTTGCTGTGCAACACAGCTAACAAGAGAAGCGTGATTTCACGTAGTAATTCAGTAGCATTGCAAGCTTATCAAAAGATTCGGGTTTATGAGAAAGCAACCAAGTGAGAACATATGTCCTATCAGTGATATTGCAAAAATCAGGTAATTCAAACACAGGCAAGTTGCTTCCTTCCCTCCGAAGCGCAGTTCTATAAATGTAAACTGTGTTCAACAGTGTACAGCCTAGTAAATGAATCACTTTAATTGAATGCTATGTACACAGTAACTGGAAAAACACAAGCAATAAGAAAAACATATGGTGATGGCAATAGAAATTGGTTTACTCATTCTGTACAGCGTTGTTTCTTTACTTCTTTCATAATTGACCTTTAGAACGATAAATGTGTAAAATAATTTTGGTTTATTATGGCTCCAAACCTTTCAGCAATTACACAAAATGAAAATTTAAAAGGAAGCATTCATTCTGGAAGCATTTCCATTGTTTACATAATTGCACAGCTGTAATTTAGTGTTCATGTTGTTAAAGAAAAGTGAAAAAAAGGACCATTATGGACTATTTCAATTCAAAACGATGCTCTGCAGCGTTAAAAAAAGAGGAGGGAAGAGAAGGGAGCAATCACACGCATGTCCTTCTCAAATGGATTAACCCTATAAAAGGCATAGTATTTCAGTATAGGGTAATCTAGTAATCCAAATAATAAGGTCATAAACATCCAGCAAGTAAGTGAAAAAAGAAAATGATGCAAGTTCACCAGAAGGTCAATTTCAGAAATATTCTTCACCTAATTTTTGTGCAAGGTTTTGCAGATTACAGGTGTAACTAAATAGCCTGCCATCTGCCTTCCTCACGTTTCCAGCTGTCCCTCAACAGGAACAACATGGATTTTCCTCTTAAAGTTCACTCTGTTCTTCCCTCAGACACACCTCATTAGAGGCTGACATTTACAGCACAGGAAAGATTATTCATTTAAACAGGACTTAAAGTGGCAAATCCTTCATTTTCCTTTGCTTGGAAGAAACAAACAATTCAATTTACTTATTCCAAGTAACGTTACATTTTAGGTGTTAGCTTGTCAAAAATTAAGTTCCAATAAAAAGTTACAAAGAAACCTGACACACTCCAAAAGCACAGGGCTTGTCTAAAAACCTACATCAATCTGACCACCAAAGAAGTTACATCTTGTGACTGCATGTAATAGGAAGAGAGATTAAAAACCGGAACAACTCAATTTAGAAAACAGATGACAGATTACTGTGTAAATCACCTGCTGGTGATCGTTCCTCCCCTTCTGAACTGCATTAGGAAGCTCTTTTAGAGACACATTTAAAAAATAAAACCAGGCAGCAGTGCAGAAGTGAACCACCTAGGGCAAGGTGCATTAGGCAGGGGAAAGTGAGGAGATGTCTCTGTTAGCAGAAAGCATGGCTCCTAACATGGGCATCACCTGGGTCTGCCTTTCCTCTGGTCCATCCCTGCAACTGTTTTGCTCCAATACCACCAGTGCACTCTAACGGGGGTGAGCAGTGGGGTATGTGCTGCACCTCAATAAGCACAGAAAGGGGGGGAGATTACAAGAGGGTAAAAATAATATCTATTGGAAGAATGTCACAGCAAACTAAAATATGTGAATCTAAGTCTTGTGAAACAGAGACTATATTATGATTTATCTTTTTTCTTCTTTAAACTGCAGTCTGGAGAGAAATCGAAAATTCTTAAGGTTTCTGAAATGCTGTACAACCAAAGGTTCTCATGTGAAACATCACCAGGCAGAAATCCAGGCAAGAAGCACTAACTGCACTGTGTACACAAGAGAGGCTGCTCATTTCTTGTGCCTTTTGGAAGAGGATGCCACACACACAGGGCATGTTCCTGTGCACAGCACTCAGACTCTGCAGCCACCGGGCTGACCCCACTCCTCAGTACAGAGCAACAGCTTCATAGAAACACTGAAAGTCTACAAGGACTTTTTTTTTTTTTTTTTTTAACTTCAAATCAGTGTTCATATAAGCAGGTAATTCTTCTCCAGTAGCAACTCTAATATGTTTCATATTCTAAACCAGCAATCATACACAAAGTGTGCTTTCTCCATATGCTCACTATGGAAATGATGGAGCTTCCTTTCTATAATTGCCAACAGCATACATTAAACAAATTAAGAGGCTTATAGACAAGCATAAAGTACATTATTGATAAAGTATTCTCCCTTCTACCACTGAATGGAATCAAGCTAAGCAGTGCCATTAACTTCTCCATCGTAGCTGTGCTGCGTGCTGAGGGCTTGTGCTGTTCTACAGGTTGAAAACTCACTGTCTGTGTGCTGAAATTTAATCACCAAGGACATCTGTCAGCCTATTCGGACCTGGGCTTTTCCTTCCATATTTAAGGTTAGTCCTCCATTTAATATGACTGAACAAACAAGCAAAATCTCTGATGTACGTATTTTTAATTGTGTTCCTTGATATTTCTTTACAAAGCAGTCTGTTCCAAAGATATGCTGGCAAGCCAATTAACCTGTAAATGTATTAATCATTAAAGCTCCCTCCAAAAGCCAGGGATAGAACTATCCTGTTAGCTCGTTTTTCAGATAACAGCCTCTACTTCTACTGGCTGAAACCGTGGTGGCACACGTTGTCAACAGATTACAGCAAGCATGTTAACTGATGCCAAAGCCCTGGTAGCAGGATGAGATTCTTCCCAACAATGAAAAGCTGGTGAGATATTGGAAGATTTCCTCCTCTTCTACAGCATAAGCACAGGTGAGCATTCAGCTTTCATTGCAGCTCTTCTCAAACTGAAGATGTACATTTAGACAGGAAGAAGTCAGAAATCCACAGAAGTTTTAGGAAAAAAAAGATATACTGGAAGGATTGTCATTACCAAAAGTATTAGCAATTCACTAATCAGAATTCTCTCAGTGCTTCTTTTTCTGAGAAAGGGGCTCAGTAGCATAAGTAGAATTTTGGAATAGTATTTCAGTACTTCTTCCAGGAAAAAAAAAATGAAAGCTATAAAACAAGGAGAAGCTTATATATACTTTTGCAAGTTCCTGAAGCCAAAAATTTCTGCTACAGTAAGCGATCAGCAGCAATAATAAAATGCATTTATTCCCTACACTCAAGCATTTGTAAAATTTGTGCACTGCAATAGTAGATATTTTTATAAGGTGTATGTATGCATCATCTCAACTCAACTCAAAACACATTAATGGACATTAAGTGATGGACACATTAAGTGCTGGAGGCTTCTCAACCATTAACTCACCCAGCAGCGTCACACACAGTTACTGCCTGAAATGCAGTAGGTTCTCCTTTGGAATCTTCTAAAATTCCCCTCCCAAGAACATTTCACAATTCTCTGCAACCTACACCAGGAACTGGGAGCACTGTAATTGTGACCAGGATGGCTTTCCTGAAGCTGTGCACTGAGTGACACAGCAAAGCAATGGCTGCTGCTGGGAAAGACCTAGCCGCTCCTTTTGCCGCTGCTGCCTGACTGAGAAGGTGCCAGAGGAAATACCACACTTCAGTCTGCCTTGCACAGGTGTGATGCTATAAAGCCCCTGAAGGCGTTTCAAGGCTGACAGACCCCAGTGATTTAAAGGGTAAAAGGGCTGAATTTAATACAAACAGTCCTGAGGCCATTTCCTGCACCACATCTGAGCGATGCTTGATACATCATCTTCTCAGGATTTGCAGTCAAGCTCTGAATGAAAGCAGAATCACTGCCTTCACTATCTTGTGAACACAGCATGTAAAAAACAAAACATCAACTCACTTTCCTCTGTCAGGAAGCGAAGGTGCAGAATTCCAGTCAACTTCATAAAAAATGATGGTAAAATTTAAGACCACTGACTTAAGTGTACAGGAAGAGAATTAGCATCACACAGTCACTTGTCCCCTGATCCCAGGGCACATGGCACACTGGAACAGCTCCCAGTGCCAGGCTGTAAACTCGCTTCTCCCACCTGAAAAGGTGATGCAATTGCTACAGAGAATTGTTCACTTCTTCCTATAGAGGTGCTGTTGTTAGACACTTAGCCATGGACAAATGAGATGCAGCTCAGTTACATCACTATCTCCTTTCTCACCAGCTGAGCTAATTGCTAAATCTTGAACTCAGAGTGCCATGGGATCTTTTTGTCAAATATACTCTCATAGTGCTCTTTCAAATGCTCCACAAGACAAGTTTGTGCAGAAAGGTTGCACTTGCCATAAATTACAATGTATTAAGTACTGAGTGCATTCAAACATGTACTATTTTGCTTTCTACCAACACCAAAATCTAAACAAGAAAGCAGTAATTTTGTATATTTGTGTTGTTAAGGGAGGAGACAAAATAGAATTGAGGAATGTAGGATAAAAAGAATGAAAACAGTCCACAGACTTGAGCAGAAGGTTTGCTCCCCAGTCTGGGAGGAAGCTTTTCTCAGCCAGGTAGTTGGCTGCGTCTATTGAAATAAATACAGCTACATTTCTGTTCAACTAGTGTTTACTCAGCAAGTCCAATTAGTGCAAGTTATTTATCTTCACTGTTAATTGCACAACTGCACTTTTCTCATGTAATACAAGATTCGTCAACTTTTTTTTTTTTTTAACAGATAAATATATTTAAAAATGAACATTTCTGATGCTATCTAAAATACTGACAATCATATTCAGGTTACAAACATTTCTGACTATAACTTTACCAGGTTATGTAGCAAAATAATTGTGTAGATGAGCACAAAAAAGCTCACCTACATCAAAAGAATGGGATTTCTTGGAGTTGCACGTTTCTGTTGCTTCTCCCAATGAATTGAAAGTTGCACTAGTCACATACACAGAACAAAAATTCCCCCATGAGAAAATCCCCTTCTCCCTTCTCCTGCTAATGTTCCATGAAACTGAGAAGTTATGCTCATGCTCAGCAAATAAAACAATCTGACAAAGCAGATCGATTTTTCTTTCCACTACAAGATCTCTGATTTCCAGCAGCTTCACACAAACCAGATCAGATTTCCTTCACACCTGAGAATTTTCATCTCTTAACGGCAAGGTAAGAGGCTGGCGAAATGCTCTGCCTGGGTCACTGATCTACCTGTGGAAGGACTGTGTGTTCAGTCAGAAGGGTACAGATGGGATCTGGCATAAACAACTCCCTGACCCACCAAAATAATTGAAAAGCACATCCATGACCCATCTTAATAAATACTAGATTTACTGTGCTTCCATCCAGTGCACTCTTGCATTAGTATTTATTGTACACCACCCTCAGCGTGCACAGTATTGAGCTAGTCTAAACACCCAACAAGCAGTGTGATGCTAATAAAACTGTAAATACGGAAACAGATATAAAGAACATGCTTCACATCGATCCATTGTATGAGAATTCAAGCTACATGGTGAGTGCACAGCTCCCATCAACCAGCTTCCTAGCTAGGGAAAGCAAAACTGGAAGGACAGGTACAGGAGAAAACTCACAGTCAAGAGTGCCACCAAGAGGCAAAAGAAGCAGAGTGAGACAAGGTGGAGCAGCAAGAGAATGCAAGACATCAGGAAATCTCTGGAATGATTTGTATGTGGAGTCTGCCTTCACCAGACAGTTTTCACTTCTTGATCTTAACTTCTAGACCACAAAGTTGCACAAGGACTGAAATCTGACATTCAACAAAGCAACAGGCTTAAAATCAGTGGAATTGTTACTAACACCAAAACACAGTAAAAACAGAATGAGAAAGCACCTCATCTGGAACCAAAACCACCATTTAAAAAATTGCACAATTTCTACTCAGGAAACTTTTCCAGGATTTTTCTCCATGATCACAATAACAACAAGTAACACAAAGACAATCAATTGAAACCTGTAATAGGAGTCAAATGACCTAACCAGCTTCCTTTCTAAAAAGAGCACACTGTGAGACTACGTAAAGAAAAATTCTAGTTATCCCAACTGGATGTCTTGGTTTTTGAAAGGGAGATGTTTTGGCACACATCGTTATATTTGTGTTTTGCTTTCAGGAAGCACACGTCTAAGAATATTGTGCCATTAATCCTTTTGCCTTTTCCCTGCAGAAGCATCTGGGAATAGCAGGTGGAAAGTTTGCAGAGAATACAACGCAGATGGTTTTACTTCTGCTTTTGCAAAACACAGACACATGAAATTTCCAAGTGCAGGATTGCACAGGCCAGTGCAGAGAGGGATTGAGCTGGCCATGGTGAGGCACCCAGGTTCACAGTCCAAGCAGCAGAAAGCAGCTAAGTGCAGCTTCACAAGGTTAAAAACAACACATCAGCAACTTACTGCTGGCTAAGTAATAGGACAGGCCTTCTCAGGGATTACTACAGTAACAAAGATTGGCAACAACTAGCGCAACAAAATCTGAGCTAGTCTGTTCTGTCTGGATTGGTAAAGCACCAGAAATGACTCCTCAAAGCAGCAAATAATCAACACGGCTTCTACAGAAAGGTCTGTGTGCCCTCTGCTGGCATCTGCAGTACAGTTCTCACCACTGTACTCATCAGAGTTTTTGTTAAGGATTAAAACTTACAGTGACAGCTATAAAAACACAGACATGTTTCTAAGTAGCCTCTCTTTTGCTTAGTGTACTTCTTACAGTATTTATGAGCATTTAGCTACCTCTAAGGTCCAATAATCCTCTTACATTCTGAAAGATTAAGCCTTTTCATCATCTCCCACTGAATGCATTATTGATTAGGCCAAACCATGGCAGACAGACCTAAAAATGACATTAATCTACAGACACAGAAGTGTTTCCACAGCAGCTCTTTGCTAGTATGACAAGATAAAGCTGGAGAGTAAGGAGAAAGTTCAGACTACGTAACGTACAGTGTGGAATACTGCACAATAATATAATGTGGAATGCTACACAATAATGACTTCACACAATAATTTGTTGCAGAGCATTGCTTCCTTTCTGCTGTTTCAAATATGAAAATACAGACAATTCCATCAGCAGACAGCAACTTGCAGAGGTTTTTCTCCTCAAGTAAAGCTTTTACCTGGTCTTCACTTGTTAAACCAAGGTGCATCACAAAATAAAAATGAAGCAGGAAATCTGAATTCGGCAGAACATCTTGACGCCTCGTCATCATAGCACAGATCAGCCTGTATGCCTGAAGTTTGCCTTCCTTATATTCATTTGGCAGGGTGGTTGCCTGAAAAAAGACCTGTATTAATACTTTTTTTTTCTACTAGTCCACTAATGCAAAACGGTCTTTTCAGCAGGTTTTCCATAAACGAATCTACTGTATTTATTAAAATTAATGTTCAAACACACTTGTCTCAGCCTGCAGTGATTGCAAAACTTAACAGTGGAATGGAGCATATACACATTTATTGTCGACAGAGAAAAAATACTAATGTGAAAAAGTTGAGAAATAACTTACCTTGAACAACCATGATGCAAATATTCTGAGAGGAGGAATTAAGACAGGAGGAGAGGGAGTAGACTGATTGTCCACGCTTATGGCAAGGTTATCCCTTATCTGGTGTTTTTAAAAGAAGAGAGTTATTTAAGAAAAAAACAGTTCACTTTATTAATGTGATTTCCTATTATTCCCTGTTTTTTGTGGATTTTTTTTTTACTTTAAGGCACTACATCCTGCACTACACAGAAAGCTCTTACTCAAGCCAACACTACCAGGAAAAGGTGTTCTACAGTGCTACAAAGGCTCAGCTAAGCATTTTAGGTTGTACCATTAGCTTTTGCACTAAGAACAGTGCTTGCAGTATTCTATCCTATACCTGTTTTCTTTGCTACCGTTTTATGAAGCCATCTAAATTAATTAAATTCTTATTAAATGGGAATATTTTCAACAGGGGATAGTTCCAGGAAATCAAACAAAAATTTGACTAACTTTACGGCAGAATCCTCCAAATACGATGCTTACATTGCAGATGCCAATCCTAGATCAAATCTAAGCATAATTTAAAAAAAAACTTAATCATTATCATTAGATGAAAATATTATATACAGTACCTTTGCAAGTTTATACCACAGCTCATAGAGATACCCAAAAACTTTTGCATGAATTTTAGGCGACTGTATATTGTTCACATCTCCAAGAATTCCCAAGATCCTCCTCCATAGCACAGCAGCAGAATCAGGATGCCAACCGATGAGGCTTCCACCAGCAATTATACTGCAGTCATCAGCAAGGAACTCACTGCTGTCTGTAAATTTTAAAAGGTTCTCTTTCACTTCTGATGAAGTTTCAGTTCTGATGCACATAATTTCTAAAGAAACTCTTAAGGAAGGTTCAAGGCCAAAAGCTTGCAATTTTATTGTGAAGTCTGGAAAGTTTACTAAGCAAAAAAAAGACAGGAGCTAAGTAATTATTGACAAAAGGACACTTTGGTCTTCCTGGTCTAGCACACACACAAACCAGAGAAGAAAAAAAATCCACAACAAATAAAATAGTGAAGGCATATTCCCAGACCCACAAGTCCTAAGTACAGGGGAGCCTGTCTTGCTGATGATGGACCTGCATGAGATGTGGCCTCCCAAGTACCACACATTAGGGAAGAACATAGTGACCTTGTTCCCAGACTAAACCAATAAGGCTGTTAAGACCAATTTCCTTTATACAAATGTTCCATCTAAAAAGCACTCTCTTCACCAAATCATCTCTTCCTTCTGCACTACTAAAGGAACACATGGGTCAAAGAAAAAAATGGCAAGAAAACACAGGCTAATAGAGATGGCACAACTGTGTGTCAGTTTGGTATGACAGACTGCCCCCACTCAAGGTTTTGGAGCAGGGAAGCAAATGCAGTTAAATGTACTTTGTGCATGTCTGAAACTCATGTACTCTGAAAGATGTATTCAATCCATAACTGGCTTTTACAGGTAATATTTCCATTGTGAAGAGTCTTGCCTCTTTTTTTTTTTTAATTTTTTTATTTTTAAGATCACATACTATAAAATGACCTGAAAATACGACTGAACAATGGAGCTAAATATGATGCACTCTGAGAGATGAAGAATATGCTCTGCCACTATCATTTACACAGAAGCAATTCCTGAGATAGCTGGATACAAACTGAGAAGGAATTCCCGTTTCCTGCTGGTGACAGGTGGATGGTTGGACTGGATGATCTTGTGGGTCTTTTCCAACCTTGGTGATTCTGTGACTGTGATTCTGAAGCTGGGCATGATAATGGAATTAATATCCCTAAACAGTAAATGAAATATTCCACACTCAAGCACAAATGTTAATGACAAAAGCTGTTCAATTATCTTCAGAGCAGAGAAAGCTATGCAGCAGCCTGTCTGCAGGCAGAATCAGAGCTATGGCCCCACAGGGCACCTTTGAGCACTCAGCATTCAGTGTGTTTTGTTTGTTTGTTTGTTTTTTAAACTTTTTTGTGATTTTATTTCCTTTTTGCTTCCTTTGTTTTGTTTCTGGCAGTGTTATGAATTCCTAAAGAGTTAAAACATTATTTTTTAAGCATATCAGAAAGATTCTCAATGGGGAAATTCATGTATCTACGCTGTTTGGGTGATGACAACACAGTATTTTTAGCCTTGCACCATTCAGGGTTCTAAAGAAAAACAAAGCTTTATTTGAGAATGCCTCCAAATCCTAAGATCAAACACATCTTTGTTTTGTGCTAGAAGAAAATTAAGCTGAAACACCCAAATTAATGCGAGTAACTATATGACACATCAAAGCCCTCGAGGCTTGGCTTGTGACATTTTCACTACTACAGCTGACGTTGTTCACAAGTGCCTCCACCAGCCATGGGCTCCCAGATACCCTCTGCAGTTCTCCATGGAACAACCACGCAACAAACAGAAGCAGCTCTGACAGATATCCACTGGGAACAGGGCAAAGATGTTGTCTTACCCTGCAGATGGGTAGGGCTGTATTCACCACAGTGATTACTGAGGTTTTGTAACATGACAAACAGAGGAAAGCTGTGAGCTGCACCCTGGCCTGTATGCAGATCACACAGCATTGAGTGGACATGTGGACAAACAACTTTGGCAAGAACCAGTAAATGCATTAGGAGCATGCCAACTCTATTGGGCAACCATACGAGGCCTCTTTGAAAGTAATGCCTCTTATTTTATTATGCTGACTCAGGACATCAGAGGTGGATGCTGGTTGTCTTTTCCATGGAAATACACAGGAGGCATTACTTCTGGAGTGACCTGCACACATTTGCTACTCCACTTCTCTTTCTAATCTCTGAAGTTATTTTACATAACTCATTCTGTTTGTACACACCAAAGAGCAATTTCTTATATCACAGGCAAAGAAAGTGCTGAGTTTAGCACGAATAATAATCCTTGCTGGGTACTGCTCTGCACACTGCCTTGTGTACAACAGCCATCTGAAGGATGGAACGGGGTGTGCTGGCTCTTTAAATCAGCAGTAATTCAAAGAAAGAGTGATCACAGAAATGAAACTCTAAAGCCCATCAGTAAAGAAGCTGCAAATAGTTTCATATGTTACAGTACCAAGTTATTGATAATAACACCCCTAACTTGCTTATTACATATCAATGGGAAGATATCTTGAAGAGAATCAAAATATTTCAGTAGAATTACAATGAAAAAGGAAAGGACTTTTACTTGCAAATAAACTCTTCTGAGAACAACACTTTATGACTTCCTACTGGCGTACAGGCAATGCTGAAGTACAAATAAGGAGGGTAACAGTTTAAGAGATTGTGAATTAATCAGTTAGACAGTTTCTATCTGTCGAAATAAACAAGGAACCTACTGTGCATTCTCAAAATATCCTGCTATAAAAAAAATATCTAGAAAACAGAATTTAACTGAAATTAAATTCAATCCTTTCACTTGAATGCTAGTGCAAGCTAAGAGAGCACAAGTGATCAACTATCACATAGCTGATTACTTTGACACAGTAAGAAACTCATTTTTAAGTATGTGATCACTTCCTGGATTACAGTTCATTCACATTTATGTCAGGTTCATTCTCATTATCTTAATTCTTTAAGCTCGGTCCATTTAAATCTCTTTTTTGACAGAACATTCTGAACAAAACTTGGCAACATGCCTAAAAACGTGTTGTTTTTTTTTTTTAAACACGCAAACTGAACTCCTTTTTGAAATAAAAATCTAAAATATAATTTCTGGACTATAATACCTGTTAAATTTGCATTATCTGAAGGGCTAAGCTGAAGCCAGCGAGGTGCATCAGGATCCACACAGACATCTGTCGATGCATTAACTTCCTGATCTTCTTCAGAGGCTTGCCAGGGGATGAGAGCAATCTCTACCTCATTATTATACCCAATGGATGTGTCACTGCTCACACTTTCACCTAAAGCAAGCAGAGGATGAATAAAGATCATGGAGCCTATTTTTAAAGATGGCATTAGCATAACATGACCCAACAAGACATGATCACACTGGTTTCAGCTGCTACACTTCAAAAAAAAAATTACCATGTTTCTTGGAACTCACTTTTTTCTCTCTCCCTATGGTTTCCATGTGTTTGCTGTAAGTCAGCTTTCAAATCCAATTCAGCTGTACTACTGCTCCTTCGTACTGCTACCTAAAGAGGAAAAAAAAAAAAGCATAAATCTCAGTTCATTAACTATATTTTTGAGAACATAGTAATCTTGCAGTTTTGAAATACACAAATGCACACAGGGAAAGTTACTATAAATTAACTGCAACTCAGTCAAGACATTTAAATGAACGTAGGAACTGGAACAGGGAGCCAGGTTAATTTTGAATTCCCCACAACTACAAAGCCTGCATCTCTCTCCCCCCCACCTTCACACCTTGTTATTCTTGAAGTGATGAGAGCACTTCCCAGAAAGAGCCTTGTCTGTAGAACAAAGCATAACAGTACTGCAAGAGCAGACACATGGCAGAACCCACAACCAGAGATGAGATTCCTCTTGCAGTCCTCCATGCAGCATTGCATTATACTTCCATAAAGATGAACTCATATATTATTTCTATTGTTTTTTTCCAAAACTGCATTAAAAATTTACAAAGCTTGCCTGTCCAAATGTTAACTTAGGCAAACAATCCACAATAAATAGCTGGTGCTACAAATTTTGCTGAAGGAAAATATTTTCCCCCGCACTTCAAACCATCAAACATTTACTCCAGTAATGTAGCTCTAAAAAAAAACATCAATTATTTAAAAAGAAAAAAAAGTGAATGGGCTTGTTTATTATTAATATAGAAAAGCACAGAAGTCTTTTATGAGAATAGCACACAGCAAATCATGTCAAAGTGCACTGGCAACTACAGTATCAGAAGTTACAGGTTGATCATAGCAAACAGCGTAACGGACAACGAAAGCTTAATTCCTGATTCCACACTAGAAAGTGCCTACCAAATATTCATTCTTTCAGTTGATAGTTTTTAAATAGGAAATGCCATCCAGTTCACAATGGAATATTTTATTTATTAACGGAGCATTTATGTTACATAAAACAAGATCTCATCAGTAATCACTATCTATTTTGCCTTACGTGCTCAGCTTCATGTTCCTTCTTCACACACTCCTTATTTTCCTGGATTGATCTGGAGTCTAAAGTGGTCAAATTATGAGAACTCCCAGCCTTTTTGCCTACAAATTTTAGAAGGGAAACAGAATTAAAATGTGGGGGAAAAAATGACATATTACAAGAATATGTAAAAAAGACATAATACAAGAAAATGACAAATTACAAGAAAATATCAGCTACATTTACACATACATTTCTTATATTTACAGCAGAGCAAGGTAACAAATTGTAAACTTTTCACAGATTAGTTATTAGGACAGAACACATGATGCCATGACAAATCTTTCATAAGCATAACATAGGTGCACAAGCAAAACAGAAGTAGAACTGTTCCTCTGAAAACATGAAATATAAGCACATGCTTGATAAATTTAAACAGTGACACTGCAAATGCACACATTTAATAAAGCTCTGGTTTATTAAAAGCTGTGTTCTCCATTTTTGGTTCAGATTTAGTAGGAAAATGGGATAAAAAACATTTTACAACTGTGGCTGAAAACCATAGAAGGTAACAGTGGCATCAGTGAGGCTCAGGAAGTCCTGGCACTTCTTCATGTGTGTAGTGTTACTATGTTTCATCAAAATTACCTTGAAAAAAATCAGATGGAAATTGATCTGCAATATCTGAAGTGCTGCTACTTCGAGTGAGCTGCTGCTCTTGGTCTACAAAGAGGCCTGTAGCTTCTGCTCCTGCCAAAGCTTCCGACTGCTGAGATTCTTCAACCTCTGTTGATTTAATTAAAAAGTTGTATTTGTATGACCTCTGAATTAAACACACGTGCCAACTCCTTAGCTATGAAACCTAAGTGAAAAAGTGACCCACTCAAATACTTCAAATTCCAAATTACAAAAACTAGAATTTAACCCCTTGTCAGAGAAATTTAGAGTATCCTCAGAAAAGCAAAGTTTAGAGAGAGATGTATTAATGGTTTAAATCATGAAAGACCTAGAAAAAGATGGAGAAATTACTTTGGGTTTCAATGTGGCACCCTTACTTGGGATCAGGAGAGCTCTCCTTTGGTATCGACGCTTTCAGTCACAGCACTGGTTAAAGCCACCCACTCTGCTATCTTTTCTGTTGGAAAGCAGTCAGAAAGTTGGCCCACAAGTCCCCCATCAAACTGACCCAGGAGAACCACCACCAGACTGCTCACGGCAGTCAATCCACACATCCAATGCTATTAGAAGAAATGGTTCAGTACCAACATGGTGACTTGGAGAAGCACTGGATTTCTGTTCATTAAATAAGGATCGGGGGCTGAATTATCGAATTCTCACATTTCTTTCTGCATATTATTTCACAATAAAGGAACTCAAATGACCTGCCCACCAGCTTTCTACATTCTGCTCCTCTCCTTTTCTTTGCTCTGCTTCCTACCTCCTTGCTGGTCTGTATGCACTGACTTTGAGGCTATACTTATGCAGAAAGGAGCAAGAAGCAAAGCCCCTCAGGGTACAAGACTGCACCTACCTGCACTGACTGCAGCAGCAGCGTGCAGGAGGAGGACAGCATGCTTCCTTTGTTCAATCTACACTAACTGAGCTTAGATAATACTCATATTACAATATACATCATTTCTATTTCAGTAAACTGCCTCACAAACCCAAATGTTCTGGTGTTCATTGACCCCAAAGTACCATTGCCAGTATCAAAGCTTTACTGAAAGCAACAAACACACGAAAGCCCTTCTTTCAGGCCAATGCCCATATCAACCAGCTTGAACAATTTCAACATCATGACCAAAAACAACAACATGGGATGAAAAACACTCAAGATATTTCATGGAATAGGAATCCCCAGAGAGTCATAATTTGCACCACGTGCAAACTTCTCTAGTGTTGGTTTCTGCATTCCTAACTCCTTGTACATCAAGTATTTGTTGCTTGGGAACTTTCAGTAAATCAAGTACTTGGAAATGAAAACATGGAGAAAATCATTGATTCAGTAATTCTAGGAATTTTTACTTTTATTATTAGGAAATATAAACCCAATAAACTTGTAATTCATGCTAACATTTAAATGAACAAAACCAGCATTGCTTGCAGTACTTTTGAGAGAAATCAAATACCACATGAAAGCTAAGAGGCACAGACAAACCTTTCATATTTGCTTCTAGAATCAATAATTACAGAAAAAAAATCTTTAAGAAAAAAAGATCCACATTTGTCAGCACTGATTTGTAACTGAGTGTGACACGGAGGGAATGAGTTTTTTCTTCTAAAATCAAGTACCAGCAGCTCAACCTGCTGCACTTCTTTTTTGGCACACCTTGCTTGTGATATCTCATACATTCGTGCACACAACTAGCTTCTATTGCAGCTCCTTGAGAAGACCTTCCTGCCCTCTTTTCCTCTGAAGAGGTTACTTAAATTGATAAAGACTACAATTCCAGCGAGAGAACAACAAAAATCATTAAAAGTGACCACATTTTCTTTAACCCCTTCCTGCCTTGAAAAAAGCACAAGGTACATTTCCACTGAATCTGCTCGACTCCTGCTAGCAACCACCATTACTTAACACTGTGTTTGGAACAGATCCAGGAAAGAGAAGTGCAAAACACCTCATTCCATGCTCCTTAAGAATAATTAACTGGACAGAAAGAGAGCAGACAGAAAAGCTTAAAAATATAAAGAACATTTATATAAAAGATGACTTTAAAGTACAGTACCTGACAGTCTGTGAGAGCAAGAAGTGTAAGAGATACCAGGTAAGAGAGAGCTCACAGTGTGAAGCAGAAGAGGTACACTTTTAGTAGCTGGCAAAGCCTCATAAAGATGAACACAGTTGCTGATAGACTGGCTTCGCTTAGCTTCCAGGAAAAAATAAAGCAACAATTATGTCAGAAAACAGCAAAATATTTGGGTTTGGGATGTCATGATACAACGAAAAACAAAGCTTTTGAAAGAATTTTACAATGTCAAGCTCTGCAATATCTCCTGCTACCCCTAGGTTAATAACATACAATGCATCTCAGCCACTGAAAATACAATGTGGAATCTTTCATTTTGTCAGCCTGTGATTAGTATACATGAGCTTATTTGACTCACCCTTTTTCCTTCTCATTGCAGTACCATTAGCAGTACATGCAGCTCGAAACAAAGAATGGAAAACCTATTCAGCTAACTTTCTGCTAGCAATGCTCCCTCCTGCCCCAAAAACTAGCTACGTCTTCCATTCACTCATCTTGCCTGAAAACAAAGCATTCTGATGTGAGAAGTGGGACAGTGTGCCTCTTAAAAATCAATCTAAAGATACAGCTACCACTGTTAGGTTGTTGTTTTTTTAAACTAGGGATCCTTGCTCCAGCCTTAATGAAGCGCTGAGTGCACTTGTCTGACAATACTGCTGACCCTGCTTTGAGCAGGAGCTTCATCACCTGAAGCAGCTTACATCCTGAATTATTCTGTAGACACTGCTTTTGGCATACTTGCTTTCTCCACTTATGAACAGGACAATGAAACATGCAAGTTATGAGATGGGGTTTGGATTCTTCAGTCAATAGTGAAGCTAGAAGCACTCAGAACACTGTTGGAACTCTGCAGTTTTGCAAAAGGAGAAAACAATCTCAAAGATAGTGAAGTGTTAAACGTTGTATCCAGTATTACTTTGCTGGCAGCTTCTCTCATCATCTGTAAGAGAGATGAGCAGTGCCCTTTTGTAACCTGTACATTAAATATTCTCTCAGGCCACAAGAAAAACACCTTCCAAGGTAGCTAATGCTTTAGAGGATTTCTGTCATCAAGACAAGTTATTAAAATATATTAATAATTATCATGCAGTTGTCATAAGCTTGAAGTCTCTTTTAGAAAAATGCATCAATTTCTCACCAACTGTACTAGAAATGCATCTGGCATTTGCTGTGCTGTTTCCCTTTTTGCTCACAACAATGCCAATGCTGATACTTAGAGATGAAAAAAGGAAAAAGGAAAAAATCCTCAAGCAGGATGGTGGGCTGCTGCATTAATACCCTGCTGTTAACTGTTTAACTCCCAGTGCAAGCAGAAGATCAAAATAAAGTCTTACTTGGAAGCAAGAGGCGATCTCGTGTTTATGCTGACATCAGTGTGTGGGGTTTTTTTCCTGTTGGTTTTCAGTGAGGGAGGGGAAAAAAGAAAAAAAAAGAAGCCCCAGGGCAGGAGATGCTTTCCCCAAAGCTCCATTCTGCTACAAAAAGTCTTTCCCTGACTATTTCTCTAATTCCTTTAAGGACTGCTACAATTGTTTCTGAAGGATAATGTCTGGAATTTTAGTAGCTGAGTTTTGTTCTCCTAGAAAGTCTTACTCTTAGGAAATAGATAAACATCAGACTATTTGGAATCATTATTTGCTATATCTGCAAGTGCAAATATAAGAGGTTTTTATATCTGCTGATTTGGGAGTCACTGATCACCAGAAATCCTATGGAAGCCAGAATAATTTCAGTTTTACGTGATCGTAAGACACAAAATGAAACCAGAGTATTACTACACATGAAGTTCACCCCCTAGTCTGACAACCAACCTGCTGCCCACCAAATAAGCTTCCCTGTAACCAGAAAAGACATACTGCCTCACCTTTGTATTCTGCTGGTAAGAAACACAACTAATCTATTATGAATGAGGAAAGACTCTGCTTAGAAAAACATTTTCTATTAAAAAAACAGAGAAGACTTTCTGTGGAGAGTTTTAATCCATAGCCCACTGAGTTAGAATACAGAGTCTCAATACCATAAAATAGAGACCAAATTCAGGCCTCTGATATACTTGAAAAATTAGGTACCTCTTTCAACACTTGGAGTTTCAGACATTCCCCCATTATTCCTACACCCCATTCTCCCTTCTGTTTACCACTATACTTATTCTATCCAGAATTAAACATGAGAGGAAAAAAAAGGAAAATGAGATGCTACACATATATTGTTACATCATTAAGAAGGAAGTAAATAAATAATATAAGCAAGGATGCTTATTAAATACAGGCTTTATCTTGTGATTACAATAAAAGGCAAGCAGCAAGAAAGTTTAGAAACTACGTATGACTGATATAGCATAATGCATTCAAGAGCATGCATAAAGTATTTTCCAAAATACTTTGATCTTTTATTCGTATTTATAGCCCTGCAGACATCCAGACTCAGGTATGCAACATCTATGTTGAATTTACTTGCACTATTTTTGGAAGTAGTCAGAACTCAAAGGCTCAGAACTCAAAGATACAAAACTTGATGTTACTGGATGTTTGGGAATCAGGCATCTAGTAGAGATCTAACCTGTTGCTCTCTGACGAACCATATTTCTTGCTTTCTCAACTCCAGGAGCTCCAGAGGTGGTGGCACTTCTAAATCTCATGGGCTCCACAACTTCGGGATGACTCTTCCAGCTTAATGAAAAAGATCTTCCCACTACAGCTGTCTTTTGAGGCTCTAAAACACCACCTAAAAAAAACCAAGATTATTCTAGCATTTAGTATTGTATTCAGCTTTTTCATTTATTCTTCTAGGGTTTGAATGAACTTAGAGGCACTCCAACATGGAAAAAAAATACTCATCTTCAAATCAGTGTCGCTGATGTAGTAATCGCTTTATAATCACAGTAAAAATTCAACTATGTGCATCAATTGCAAAGCAGCATATGAATGCAGCTGAAATACTGTAATTCATGAAGATTAATAAAATTACATGGAAAAGAATTTTGACACTGATGACTATGCCAGAATACAGCACAAGAAATCACGATTCATTCCCGCTGCACAGAAAAAAATCATTTTGAGCACATACTAAAATCTGCCAACCAGCTACCATCTATTGACCCCAATTACCCTTCCTAGCACAGTGAGCATAAAAATCCAAAGCCCTTCATATTTGATTAATCAGGTTCTTACACAAGATTAAGAGGTATTTAATGTTAGATCTTTTAAAGTTTAAACTTGAATATTTAACTTGTTTGACACAAAAACCACTGAAGCATGGGGACTAACCCTTTCCTCTCTGCTTTTTTTCTTTCTGTTCACTGAGCTTATCCAAGGGTAAGTTAGTCATTTCCACCCCATACACAGTTCTTGCTAGCACTGCCGTCAGAGAGTCCATGATGTTGGCCCACTCATTTATGAGCTCCTCCCAGTCAGTCAGGGAAGACAGAACGCTAAGCAGCTCATCCCACAGCTCCCGAGAAATGTAGACGCTCAGGTTTGCTCTGATCCAAGCCACAATGAGGGTCTAGGAGGAAATAAACAAGTGGCAGGTCACACATCTTGGCTGAATTTAACACAACGCCATCTTGCATATTAGTGCTGGTATCAGTGACACGCAGATACACAGATACTATTCATCAAAAAACAATCCAAGAAATTGGTGGGCAGATATTCAGTACAAGTTACTGACCAAGGAAATTTAAAAATTATGAAACAGATGCTTCAGATGGCCTCTATTTTGCCTGGTAAGCTAATTTATTGTTCATACAGCAATAATAAAAGAATAGAATACAGAACTGACCATCGCAACATCTTTCAAATGATTACAGAGCTTGAGTTATGCCTACAACATTCAGATCTGAACACATCATATACAAATGGATGCAGACAGATTTTCATTTTCTTAAGTGTGACTTAGTTTTGACTTGCCAGATGAACTTACTTCTACAAGAAGTTGCATACAGCTCACAGTGTAGAGCTACTCACTGAAGATATCCCACAGACTATCTGCCTGTGCTAGCACAGTTTGCAACGCAGCCCTGAAGAACAGATCAAATCAACTGCTTCTGACAGCTGGAATCCTTCTTAATAAAACAATCAGTTGTATTACTGCAAAGGAGAACTTCTTCATGCTTTACAAATACATTGCATAGTACTGTGCAATAGTACTTAAGCAGAACTATGGGCATGGAAAAACTGGTGCCAAGCACACAGAAAATACTCACTCGGAAAAGTAATCCTGACATGCTCTGAGCAAATGTATCCTTTATTTGGTTCTCTTTTGGCTTCTGCATCACTGCTTCTGTTATTCTGAGGAGTATCTGTAACATCTGCTCCCTGGTTCCAAAATAAAATTGTACTTTTTGTTCACAGTTTCTATTAATCATTCCTGTTAATTTTCACGCAACAAAAAGCCTGTTAATTCTCAGTAATCTTTACACATTGAGAATGTGATCACACAAAGATTTCAACAGAACTTTTGCAAAGTATCACCAGTTGACAGTGGGCTGTAAAAATTTGTGAGAAGAAAAATTCAGGGATGGAAGCAATGAGCAGAATTTTGAAATCAAAAAGCACTTTGCTGAAGACACAGCAGAACCTACAACCTCATAAATCAACTCAGGTGCAAGTTGTAAGCGCGGCATATGAAACAAGGACCATCACTGTGTAAGTTCTCCCTCTCACCCTCTCCTTCCTAACAATTCTCCCGTAACAGCTAAATATTAATATCCTTCTCTTAGCTACAGAAGATATTAAACTTACCACGTCTTTTTATTCATTGACAGTTCCATTATCATGCGCCTGAAAATACTGAGAACTGCCTTGCAAGCATCAACTTGCTCCTTCAGAAGCACGGGGACTTCAATGCATGGTTCCAGTAAAAACACATTTGCAGAGTTTGTCAAGAACACCTTCAAGACACAGGTATTCACAGTCAGTTTACACAGTGCCAGACAAAAAAGAGTCGAGACTTAGAATAATAGAATACTTGTCCTCTCTTAGTTAAATCATTCATTTTCATTACAGCAAGCTTCACATTTCATCTGCCACTTTATTGTTCTAAATCATTCTAAACCAGAGTCAGATGGCATTCCATGATAACAAGGGCATATATCACAAAGTTCATTGTCTTGCAGGTACCTCTTCTGTTTGGTCGGGTAGGAGTGCCACTCCTCCAGCTACTCACTTCCCAACATGGTATGCTTAAGTAAACACCACCACTTCCAATTAATGAGGAACAATAAAAGCATATGTACAGTTCTCATTCACAGTACCAACTGAGGGAAAAAAAATATGTACCTCATACCTTATACCAGTTATCCAGGTCTCAGACATGAGCACATGGCTTAACATACATTTTATAGTTATACATGAAGTTCAAATCATATCTGATGAAAACCATCAGCTCCTCGTAGTTTCTTTCCTTAATTTCAGAGTTTTAATTTCAGAAAGGCCTTTATCTAAGTTCTTAAACCAAAATAGGAAATTATAGTTTATATAAGCCAGAAGAGAATTGTTTTCAGTAATGCCAGCCTAGAACCCTCCCAAAATGTTCTAATCTGGAAATCAACATAGAATTTGAAACATGGCTATATGATGGTACTATAATGTGTAGTATAAGTTACGTGACTCTTACAGCCTTGTAACCTTTCAATACAGCACACCTGTAATGCAGCTTGAGCACCAGCTTTGACATTTTTGTCCTCATCTTCCAATACACATCCTCTGTTAACAGCACTGGTAAAGGAGTACGTTCTTCCCCAGCTGGATGAGCGCTTATGTCCTGAATGGTCAGAGGAAAGCTTTCAAAAACACCACTCAGTTAGTGACCAGGGAGAAAGGAAAACATCCATATTTACTCAAAATCAATGAAAATGGCAAAAGCAAGAAGAGGGAACTACTGCGTCCATTTAGCAAGGAAGTCATGTCTACCACTGACATCTCAGAGCAAACGTAGCACGTGGAATTTAAAGGTTCATAAAACTCAAAAGAACTACAGTATTTTGAAATGTTTTATCTCACATTTTGTAGTCACTGACTGTAGTACATTTGAATTCATGCCTGGAATAACTACAGATTCTGATTTTACACCTCAACCATCTGCCTCGGTGTAACAAAATTTCTATTTAAGTAGCTTTGAATGTGAACGTCCCAGTCAATGTTCACTACAGTGAACATGTAAAAAAAATGTGATGTCACAGAATTTTTACTCGCAATTTAAGTTCCTGGAGTTACAGATCCAAATCTGGACAGAGTACATGCAAATTAGTAGATATTTTCAACTTCTTAATTAAGCAATTACCACCACTTCCATTAAGTTCTTGCTACCATATCTCTATAGACAAGGAATAATGAAGAAAGCTGCATTTTTCAAAGAGCTGCAATCTTTCTTTGCACTCAGTAAGGCCTACCAAACACTCAGTAATCATTCATATTTCTGGCCCTTAGATACAGCACTTTTTAATCCTGATTTCCCATATAATTTACATTTTTCCTCACTTTCAAAGCAGGTTTAAGAGATAAATAACATACTGCAGGGAGACAGAATAATGTAAATAATACTGATAGCATACATGTTTACCATCCGTTTGTGCTGATGAATCCTCTAAGCTGGTAACAGCATCCTCACTGTTCTCCTTTTTGTCTGGCTCCTCCATGAACACAGGTTTCTCCTGCAGTATCCACTTCCGATACACCTTAACCACTTTCCGTGTTGCAGATATATCAGAGGAAGGCAACAAAAATGCCTAAATTTAAAGTTAACTGATTTTACTGGATATATGGGGCACAGAAATCCACGCATATACAAACATACACATGCATCATAACCATCCATAAAGAGCACAGATCAAAAATAAAGTAAGGAAACATATGTTTTACATTGTACAAAGAGTTATAGCTAAACAACAGTGTATCCATGTATCTTCACCTGTGTGGGTACTCTCAGTTCTGTAGTTAGAAATATCTGGGTTCTACCCTACACTTGTAGAAGTTGATTTCAATTTACATCACTAGTATAGGATATGAAATGCCATTTTAGCAAGTGTGACTAAAGGTAAGACATTAAACTGTAATGAGAATAGCAGTGACTGGCATTCAATCCTTTCTGACAACACGCTCAAAAATCAGCATAACAGATTTAATTCCTACGTGCTACCCCTTGGCAGTACTTCTAACATTCTGGAAAGATGTCCACTGTGAGAGCTTTCAAAGGCAAAACTGCCTGTTTCCCCACATTTCTGCAGATCTTGGGCATCTAAAAAAATACAGTGACGTGTGTTAGACTCTTGCAGTATTATAAATCCTGGGAAACTGCACACTCACTAAAAGGTGATGTCTACCATATTCTGCATGGCCAAGTACTACCCCTTGCAGTGGTATAAAGTTAGTTTGACCACAGAACATTTTATAGACTTCCGAAAATGAAATCCCACTACAAACCAGTATCAACTGTTGAAAAATCTTTGGACAACAGTGAAATGGCACAGAAACCAAGGCAGAGAAATTTCATTTGGTGCCAAAATATCCACCTTGTTTTCCCAAGGAAGAATAAGCTCCTGCTTTGGTATCGAATGCATTATATTACAAATTCAGTGAGAAAGACTAAAATACATTCTTCAAATTAACAAAATTTGTTCTGTCTATAAAAAGACTACCCACTCTTCACTAGTTAACAGCAACAGAAGCTGTAGAAATGCTTTCATAGCATTTCTTCCTATAGCCAGTTTAGCTGCAAAAACATTACAGGGATATCTTGTTCAGACTGGGAGAAATCTATGCACCATATAGCATGTTTCCCTTTGTCCAGACAACATGAAGCACAATTATCCAACAGCTAAATGGAGTCTTCAACTCCTAGTCTGCAGAAATTGAAGGGTTAGCAAAAGCTACATTAAACATGCCATACAGCAAGCACGTTGCTCTCCGAGTTATGAGGAAACTGAAAAAAGTCTGATGACAACTGCTAGACTATTAGTGAAGCAGTGGGATGAACGGCTACTACACAAAATGCTTTCAGAAAGGTTGAAAAGTAGGGTAGAAAGAAAAGAAAAATAAAAACACAGAGGAATTCAGAGTGACTAATGAGATTCCTGTAAGGCAGAGATAAAAACAGGCAGGATCCAAGTGCCACAATCTGCTTCAATTACTGAACACTGATCATATTTAATAAAAGTGCTGCATTCTGTCACCTTCTGCTCCCCAGAAGCCCGCTGAATTTTATACGCACTCTGAACACACACCAGCAGAGGGCAGCACACCACAGTGGTTCTCAGCACACAAAATCACTCCTTCCAGTCACGATGACATCCGCCTCACAAAAGCACTGGTACAAGGAGCTCCTTAACTATGCCACACAGGACACTTCTCAGTAAAGCACGCATGCTTACTCTGCTGCTAGAGGGTGTCTCCTATAAATTTATGTGACCTGGAACTGTAGTTTCAATCGATTTCTACCGTGACAACATAGCAGAAGAGGATTGGGAATTCACAGTAATCCCACATGTACTTCTACCCCAAACACTTGAAAAGATATCAAAACAAAGACAAACACTAGTAGAAGCAATAAGCAATGACTTCAACACACACGTGCACGTTTACCTGCCGAAACACCTCATTAACAAAGTTAACATATCCTCGGGTGGACAGGAGGATCCGCTGCACCATCTCATAGACGGTCCGATGCTGCTCCTCGATGCTGCAGAGGCTTGAATTACTGAGCCGCCGGTCAGACAGCGTGCTGCTATTGGAATGGCTTCTCTCCTGCTCGCTTGCATAAGACACGCTGGTTTCCAGTTCAGGGTTTTTATCTTGGTTTACAACACCAACAGTCTACACAGAAAAGATACAGCTGATTACATTACTGAAGCGCTGCGTAGCAAAAATCTGTGATGCTTACTCAGAACTCAAGACAGCAGCATTCATTTTCACAAAGCATGCAGGCATCCCAGCAGTCAGAACGAGCAATTTTCAATCTATCTTTTGAAACAGCAAGGAATTTCGTCTTATATGCTATATGATGCATACTTCATATGGGTGCCCTGCAGCCGACTGACTTGTCTGCTCCCCAAGAAAGAAAGAGGAAGGGGTGTAGTGGTGGGACTGGAGAGCTGGCAGGCACAAGGGAGAAGCAGCTCCAAGCCCATTGGATTTTTGAGAAAGGAAGGATCACATCACTATACACGGTGCATATTCTTAGGCATTACTACTCCCGACAGCTCTTTGTCAGATATTGTTCTGGCGTGGCATTGCATTTATTTTGCAACATTTCATCCTGAACCATGTCTGACTAAAATAATTCAGTCAAGGGAAGACAGAGGACAAAGCCTTTGGAAGAAAGTGAATAAAACTGCATCTGAATTGCTGGACAAAGAATGCTACTCACACTAACTGAAAGCATTACCCGAATGCAGTTTGGCTTTACATTGACTTCAACAAGGCTGCTGTCTCTTCGACAAAGAGAGCAGCAGTAATGTTTCTACTGCTTCTCATAATAAACTTACTTGTAAAATTTTGCCATACCAACAAGGCACAGGTTAAAGGCACTGAAGTTTCTAACAACTAGGAAGTCAACGTGTGCCAAAAGCTCACACTTGGCTTCAGCTAAGTGATAATTTTTACAAGGTTCCATTCTGAAGGCAATAATATCTTTATACAGTCTAAATATTTAATTGGTGTCAGTAGTCTATAAAATTCAGTGAAAAGATTTCATTCTCCAAGCAACGCCTGTTGCAATGGCACAGCACATATTTGGGCAGAAGGTGAAAATTCCAGTGAGAATGAAAAGGTTACTAAAAAGCACCTTCAGTAGGTAAGCTACACTTGGCCTTTCTAAGGTATCAAAACTCTTCAGTGAAGAACTTCAAAATTAATTAACATGAAAATACAGTTTGACTTTCATAGCCAGTGAATGTTTTTCCACTCAAGCCAGATTTGACATTGACCCACAATTCAAGAGAAAAATCTAAAGTTGACATTGATCCTAGATTTTTAAAGGGAAGCCAGAGAGTCTCTCAAAACAATTTATTTCCACAAAATTCCTGGTAAGCCCCTAATCCTACAGAAACCTCAACCAGAATTTGAAAGTGAAATATTTTTTCTAGCATCTCATTGTAAACAGCTGCTATAATCAAGAGGAAAACAAAACAGCCTTTGATATTACAGGGAAATGGTTTGTGCCTCAAATAAGTTTGACAGCTTACAGATTGAATTCCAAAAGTCCAGAGATAACAGCGATGAAATCCGGTAAGGCAAACATATATGAGGAAAAAAATGTAGTTAATTACTTAAGAGATTCCCTTGAAGACTCCCTCCTTCATAAAAGAAAAAATAATCAATTCACAAGTATATCAGTTAATCATTTGGGGACTGCATTTCTTTCTTGCTGCAGCTGTCAGTGCGCAATCCCTTGCAAGGTTTCTAGCACATCTAAAGAGAAAAAAGGTAAACTTTAAAGCACACCTGGATAATTTTAGGGAGCATTTCTCCTCCATTTTTTGTATGCTGAACAGCAGATAAATATTTCTTTTCAAGAAAGAAAGTAACAAGCCACTTAATAAATACAACTCGAGCTGCCATGTATGGAATTTTTGTGCTATAGACATTCTCATTGTTTCGTGTTGCAGTAATGTATACAGGTCTTGGTCTTGTATCAGGAATATCTGGTGAGATAAAAAGAGAAAATACAGAGAAAATCTAATCTTAAAAAACTTGCTTCCAGACTGTTTAAATGCATTGAACATGTCTCCAACAACATTTTTTCCATGTGAAATAACAGATGCAGTGACCGGCCACTTCTATTATTTAACGCTTGTATTAATAACTTTACTACTTCTAAAGAAAAGCAAGAACACGAAAGTACAAATCTTTCAACGAAGGCTATGATTTGTATTAGGCAAAAGAAAGGAAAGCAAAAGAGAAGAGCTGCAAAGAGTAAGACAAGATCCAAAACAAACATGAGTCTGCAACATAAATTTCCCTGGGTCTTATTAGTAAGGTAGAACGAGAAAGAGAAGATGACTCAGGAACTCTCAGTGAAAAGATTAAGGATACTTAGCACATGGGAAAGAGATGTCAGCTCAGGTGCAAAGAGCTCTGCACAAGCTGAAATAAAAGAGAGAACACGCACTGGAAGAAAGTGGAAGAATGCCAAACAGAGATAGGTCACAATTAACACAGATGCTTAGATTTTGGGGGAAAAAATCACTTGTACACAGCTGAAATACAGGGAAGGATTGTGCTCTAGTTGTGAACGTGACTGAAGTGGCCCTGAGGTGAATTCAGACACTAAGGGCAAATTGCAAAGACAGGAGTTAGAAGTCAGAGGAAGGAAGAGAGGAATGACAAAGAAGAGGTTGCAGTGTATCAGGTGAGCCTTAACAACCCTGCTCCTGTTGACTCTAATATATAATTCAGCAGAATGTTAGAAGAAAGTCTAAGGAAAATGTGAGCATTACTGAAATAACATGCTTTTAATTCCAGAGAAGTGCTTCCTATAGATGCTTCCAGCAACACAAACTGAGCTCATTTATTTCACAGCTACAACTCTGTTTTCTTTTACTTGACTTTTGATGCTTATTTTTTCTGTTTAAGGAAGAAAGGCGTTTTGGTGTGTTTTTTTTTAAACTTAAAAGACAAAACTTGCTACTTACCTAGAACAGGTTTGTAGAGGTTAGTTAGTTTGGTAAAAGATGGAAACAAGTGTGGAAGGTAGTATTTTCTGAACAAGGTAAAGAGAAACTTAAAACCAGTGTCTTGGTTCTCCTTATTCTTCCACTCCAAGCTTGCAGCCTTTGCCAAAGAATTAAAAAGAAAGGAAGAAACAAAAAGCTTGAAGATCATGTTTTACACTGATAGTCATTCCCTGTTGACGAGTAACAAAATGTTGCTCTACTTAATGAGAAAGATGAACAACTGCAGTTTAACATGAGAGATGAAAAAACAACAGCCCCAAATGTATTTACTTTTTTAAAAAGCACAAGAAGAATATGAAATACTACCTTGAAGGACTTTAGCATATCAGAGAAACAAAGCTCAGTAGAACACAATCCTCCCCATATCAATAGTTACAAACATACATCTCCTCCGCACCTGAATTACCATATATTTTAATAGTAACTGAAGAAAATAGCAGGTTTGGTCTTCAGCAATTTTCTCTCCAGAGACAGCTGGCAAAAGCGGGGTAATTTCTTCTGGAAAAATCTTAGCTAGAATAAAGAGAAAATGCTTTAAACATAGAAAACCTGAAAATACTGAAATAAATCATATTCTCTATAAAAAGATCAATTTGCTAATAATTACTAATGTGCCACTAAGTTGCACAAAGCCAAAACTGCTTGGGCTTCCTGTGTTTTCCCAAACACCTTCACAGACATCTGAGGACAGGACCAACCTTTGCTTCAGTGCAGTCTGGAAGGATTAACACAAGCAGATGCTGCAGGTTAACAAATAAGCTGTAAATCTGCACAGTACCTTTGCAGTAAGGTGTTCATATAGCTTCACCTCGATATAAAAAAACCCAACAAAATTGTTCTTAACTCAGAATGACAAAACCTGAAGGCCATAACACTGCAAAAATCGTCAGCAGCTTGACAATTGCAGGCCATCTCTCAGCTACAAACAGCACCAATCACAAGGCACTGCCCCTGCAAGCAGCTCTTGGCTCACAGTGACTTCAGGGAAAGGGAGAAGGTGAAACACCCAGCACAGAAATTGTGTTTACTCACCATCTGGTGAATTAGGAGGACTAATGACATTATCTAGTGTACAGGGACCTCGTGAGGACATAACGGGTGGAAACCCAGGCACAAGGCATGCAAATATTAATATCTGCTCTTCTGTACAGTTAGTCTGAAGTGCTTGAAGCCAGAGAAGAAACAGTCGGATTCCTTCACATCTTATCTACAAGGGGATGATTTTGTAGAAGAAAATATGAAAACAAATTTGAAAGTACAGTAATGTAGTTGAGTTGTTAAGAAAGTGTTTGACAAGTACACTGATTCCAATTCTGTGCTAGTAAGTCTTTTGGTCATAGCATAAATAATCCTACTGCTAAGCTAACCAGAGCACAGAAGGGTGAGGGTGAGCTGTACCAAAACTGTGTATGATGGCCCCAACCTCCATTGGAGGACAAGGAGCTGACCTGCTTCTGCCCTACCAATGACAGAATGCCAGCTCCATGCACGTTAAGGCAAGCTGCTGTCCTCAATGTAAGCAGGACCAGAAGATCCCCAAGAAAACTGAGATGCAACAAAACCACCCAAGGCCGAGTGCTCTGTAAGTTCACCTTCTTCTTTCTCATTAATTTTAGCCATTTCTTTGGAGTATGAAAAATGGATTTAAAACTGTTTAGCAAAACCAAGAAACCTATACATGTACTATAATGTACTTCATGCCAGAGAGATCTGAAAAAATGAAGCATTAAGCAAATACTTTGCTAGCTTCTCCAGCTAGATTTACAAATGTCATTAGAGCAGCACAACTGACAAATATGAATTTTAAAATAGCCTACAGTTCCAATCCTAAAACTTGTAATTAAAAGGTAAATGGAAAAGCTCAGCGATCTGAAAAAACATTGACACTGAAAATCTGTAAAATAATTTGCTTCATACAAATTAAATGAAAAAGAAATAGGAATACATCATGGAAGAGAGATACCTTGAGAGAGTTTCCAGTGTGCAAAAGTTTCTTCAAAATCGACCCTGGATTAGGAAGATGAAACAGGCACATATCAGATGTTAAGATGCTTTTTAAAAAAACACTACAGAAAAGGCTACTTTGATGCTATTCCTGCGCTGTCATTACACTGGTCTTCAAAAAAGATGAAAATTTCTGGGGGATAAAAAGCAAAATGACAGACATGATACTCATGGCTATGTCAGAAAAAAAAACCCAAACAACCCAACAGCTACTGAAATTGCAAAATATTTTGATTCATGTTTAAAAACACCAGGTCAACTGCTTGTTCCAAATGCCTGGCTTAAAATTAGATCTCACACATGAAATTCTTCAGCTAAAAATGTTTTTAGTCGAATTCCTCAGAAAATAACAGAACGTACAAGGCAGCTGTTATTTCACCTGGTTTTGAGAATTACAGCCTTACTTAGAAGTGACCCTTTGAGATCTCTCTATTTCAAAATTTTAGATGGAAGTTATTAGCATATAAACAACTGCACATTAGCAGTTACACGGGAACATCAAGCAAAAAGCAAAGTACGAGGTGCACTTTAAATAACTGCGACCAAATTTTGTAGCTCATTTATCAAACACAGCTATAAATCTATCCAAATACGACTGTTCAAAGGGAGCAAGGACGTAAATACATTAGCTCTAAAGCAACTGCCTACAAGCAATTTTTTCTGGACTCATTGAGATGAAATGAAAGTAAAGTGGTCAAGCAGACATCTCCTTTTAGTTTTCCCAGTGCTAACTGGAAATGTGACACAGCCCTTTCCTTGACCTTCACCTTCCACTCATTATTTCTTTTGCAACAGCAAATACATTGTTGGGACAAGAACATTACAGCTGATGAAACGGTGCTGGAAACCAAACCAAGCCAACCTCACCAACAAAAAAGAACTGTAATGAAGAAATACATGCCATTGCTCCCCTCCCAAAGCAGCATAAACTGTCCAATTTACTTCAACAAACAGCAAAAGAAAATATTGTGGCCACCTTGGAAGCATTCAGAAGTAGAATTTTCACAGTTAATTAACCAAAGATGCTTAGTTCAGTGGACTGCAAGTTGTTTGGACTATCAAAATAGAAGTATTTCCCTCTCACTTGACTGTAATTTATTCAGCCTGGTCAAATGAGGAAAATAAAGTTTTCTTTGTCTCCTGCATGTGATCACAAGGGATGGTCAAAGGAAATATTTAAATAAATTAGAAAGTTCACATATTCGAAAATAAAGACAGCCAAACAATTTTCTCATTAGCATTTTTAGAACCTGATTTGAAGATATACCTGAAATCCCTATACCATCTACTGAAAAACTCATCAATAAAAGTTCAGTAATCCAACATTCAAGAGTGACCCAAACCATTAGATGCTTATTATCTGAATGCTTTAAGGTGAACAAGTAGCAGAAGAATATCAAGTTTTAAGCCAAGCCCTCTAAGTGTCTTAACTAAGGTGACAGCCCTATTATTTTTTTTTAGGCATATGTTCTATGGAGTTCTATGCTTATGAAGACTTCTGCAAAATACCTGCTTGTGAACAGACAGAACTGACAGGAAGCTAAGGAAAAGAAAAGGCTGAGCTTTACCAGCTCCTTTCCTGTGCTCCTCCCATTCCCCCCTTGCTCCAGAAGCCACCGTATGTATCACAAATGTCATGGAGTGCAGGTAAAGAATGGAGAGCTTCTTGATTTGACCAAACAAATGCCACCCACAGATTCTTGTTCCTGAAATGGCCAGTGTCAGCTGGCTTGGCAAATCCTCCACTGAATGAAGGATCCATGAAAGACAGCTGGGGCCAGAGTTGCAGAAGTGCTGTGTATTCAGAATTCCACAGACACAGGCCAACAAGACTGTGGGCCACTCAAAGTTATTTAAAAAGTTTAAATTTTTGTCCTTCCTTTCTTTGTTTCGCTATTCCAACTCTGAAACAGAAATTCCTCTTTTAATTCTCACTGACTGTGGTAACCGAGTGCTTCACAAATATTAATGAATTCAAATGTACAGAGAATAATGTCACAGGATTACCACAGAAGAAATTAAACACTTATGTGATGTAGCAGCCCGATGGTTCACATTTAGTGTAACTTGTGCTTGTTCAATAGTCACCAATGGAAAGCAGAAATGTATCAGAATATATTTCCAAAAGGAGACCAAGTTCAATGGTACCTGTATCTAGGCAAAGAGCAATTTTTACTACAACAAATTTGCATGAGCATTTGTATGTGATCATCTGTGAAAGACTTTACAGTGCAAATTTGCAAGAGAGCAAACACAGATTCCACAACCCTTCTCAATCTTAATTTTTGGTCTTAGTCTGTGAATGCAAATGGGTCTCCATTTCTTAATTCACCCATTTTCCTAATTCACCCAATTAGGAAAAGGTGTGCTGGTTTAGATCCCTCGCCATTTTGATGCTCTAAAAGCTATGAAAGAGACAAAAACAGGACCATGGCAAATCCAAGAATACAAAAATTCCAGGAGCTTTCATGCAAAAATAAAAGTGAAGCAAGCAATCAAAACCACACAGCACAAAGAACACACAGAGCTACTTCGACAGGCAAAAAGATTTTCCAGATGTTTCAAGAATTTTCAGATGCAAATCTCACATTTAAGTACCATCTGTGTGTTGGGCAAAACTATGTCACTCAGTGGTTTAAAGGACTTGTAGAACCAGGGAAGCGATTACAGAAAACACGGATTTCATTTTTACCAGAACATTTTCAAACCATCCCTTCTTACCTATACTGCGAAAATGCCACCGATAAAAAATCCTCTCAGGCAGTAGTTGCAATATTTTCTGCAGGAAAGAAAACTGATAGTCAAATTTTCCATAATAAACTGGCTCATTCAGAGGATACAGATAAACTGATACACAAAACATACATGAAGTGGTTATATATAGACAGAGAAAACACAACAGAAAGCAGATAGCTGGAATAATTAGAACTCTTCATCATTACTTACTTCCTTGCTACAAAGGAAGATGCTTGGAATGATTCTAAATAAACGCCGTAACACTGGCACAAACCTCTTTCCCCTTCCCCCTCTCCTGGAATGCCCCAGCATCTCAGAATATAAACTGATTTCTAATGAAGATGTTACAGACAGAATTTCCTCCTAAGAGGCTCACTTTGGGTTACATTTTTCTGAAGTGTCTGGTAATAACTACTGTTAGATTGATACAGTCCAGATTTTGAGATTGGGTGGCTTAGGTCTGCCTTTTCATCAGCTAATGGGGTCTATCTCCCAGCTAAGGCAGAGATGAGCAGCAGGGCAGTTATTTTTACCGTGAGATGATTTACCTGTGTTTTCAGCTGCTGAGTGAAACCGAGCCAAATTACACAAAGCCAGCCTAATTTAATTCATAGCACACGCAGTTAATAAAGCACTTATGTGGAATAATACACGGCAATCTTCCTCTGACTGATGCTAACAGAGGCAGATCAAACAAAGAAAGAGGTTTGGTCAAGCCCATTTCCCCTCAGTTTTGTTACTCAACAGAGCATCCACAAAGCAAAGAATTTAAGCATACGCTTAAGTGCTTTCCTCAATGGAATTCATTTCCTATAATATTAGTTGCACAGAACAGTTGGGGCTACCAAACGCTTTTTGTCAGCTTACTGGATGGTAATGTCATTAAATAATTCGGATAAATCCAAGCTATCCGGGGGTCTAATTTTGGTAAACGTGGCTTCTAAATAGTGCTTAAATCAAGTTTCAAGACACTTAAACATATATATGTTAGCATAATAAACTAGGACTTGGCAAGCAGCTGTAGTATTAGTATAGGATAGCTAACCTACTGATGCTTAGCTTCCCAAAAAGGCAAGAGAACACACCTATTTTCGTACAGATTTCAAAGAAAAAAATGTCTGGAACTTACAACTTTTCAGTTACTGGGATATGAAATTTAGAAGTTATATCTAAATGGAAAAATAGTTTTGACACCTTCTTTAGGAAATAAAATCAAACTGAACAATCCCACACATGACTAGCAGTCGGGGTTTAATCATCAAACAAAATCACCAGAATAAATTCCTGCATAACGAAATGCCATCAAGTCTTCAGAAAAACCACATGCAGGATGCACAATGAATGACAAGTAATTGAAGCACTGGTGACCCATTTGCTGGTCTTTTGCACATAAAAGCTCACAAGAAGAAATAAAAGCGTCACAGCCAAGAAAGCAACAATTTGTGTTTCAGGCCATCCTTCGGAGATGGCCTGCACATGAATCATTACTGCTGTTAAAAACACTATGCTTGAGAGATGGATTGTGACAGTTTTTTATTTTTCATGACAAAGTGCTGCAGCAACTGTATACAACACTGAAAGTCACGATCTATAGAAGATGGAGCATTCCCTTCTCCATGGCAGAAGATGGAAGTCATGAGAGGTTCACAGACTTAGGGAACCAGACCTCGGGTCATACAGACAGACTGCTCTTCCTTTACATCCACAGCACATGTTCCCCAAATAGTATTTGGCATTTCTAAAAGTGAATAGATAAATAGATCAGGCTCATCCTCCTCATGTCCTTGCCGTGCTCTTTTTCAGCGCTATCCCCAGAGCTCCTTCATCAGGCCGCAGGGGAAAACTCTCCCAGAGAGGAGCAACCAAAGCCTCACTGAATTCCACAATACACCACAGGGAGAAGCCTTCACGTGCCTTCACATTTATCTCAGAAACAAATACATAGATGCTCTTTATTTCTGTTTTTTTAGATCAGTAAAGAAGTACAGCAATCGTCACAGCAACAAAGGCTGCCCTAAGCAAGATACCTTCAGCTCGTCCTCAGACAGAAATTCTCTCTCATTTGTTTCAGAACACTGAGAACCAATTTGATCACATTTCGAAAGAATGAAGCATTTCTGTACAAATAACAAAATACACCTGGAAAAGATGTCAATTTCACTGAATAAATCTGAAATACACTTGAACACCAGGCATTTGTTACTAGGAAAAATTTGGGGAAATAATCTGATGACGTACAAACGTTTTCCTTAGCTGCAAAAAGAAACAATAGCCGTTTCCCAATAGCTTTAACAATGTTCTTAGAGCCGTTTTTCCAGTTTGAACATCCCAAACGATCGAGAACTGAACCAAAGAACCACCTCTCGTGGTGTTGCCTGAACACAGCAGCACACTGAGGCAGGCCAGGTCTCACCATGCCCTCCCTACAAGCTGCAGAGCACATTAGCTGTTATTTGGGAAAGACCAGAGGCATGACAGCATGCAGCATACATGGCCATCTGGTATCTTGCAAAATTTCATCTCAACTTGGAGTGAAATTCACTTCTAGAAAGTTAACTATAACAAGGTGTAAGCTGCATAAGCTGACAATGTGTCGAAGATGCATAATTCTGATCTATTTTGAGAAAGAGTAACTCTGGCAACTGAGCTGATTTTAAGCCCTGCTCAAAGCAATTTTGGCACAAAAATCCTGTTGCAGAGTCTGACAACTACAAGGAAAAGCCAGATGATACTTTAAACTGCACAGTGTTGGGAGGACAGAGGAAGAAGGAAAGAACATGCCTATGGTGTCAGAAAAAATAAAAAGTAGCTGTAATAAATAAATAAGAATAAAATGCAAAATAAAAGCACCTCTGTCAGGTGACTGAATCAAAACAATTTAAAGTTTGAAAAAAATAATAAGAGGACAGAAGTTCCAGTGTCTCCTGACACAGCAAAAATTGGGACACTTCAGTTGTTTCACACACCTTTCTCTATTTCAGCATCTCAAAACCAGGAAAAAAATATGTGTTCACTTTGGAAAAATGCAAAGATGCATTTAATCATCTGCACGGGATGACCAAATAGTAAGGTGAAGTCATTTTAAAAATCAAACTAGGTTGCTATCACTGTGATTTTGGAAGATATCAGCGCTTTGCAGAAGACTGAAATGCACAGAATTCATCTAATTTCAGAGGGCACGTTTGCTCCTGCAGTGCAAATATGCATTAGCATGTTTAAAGGTCTATATCATTAAATGAAAACTTTAGAATCCCACAAGCAAATTCAAAGTTAAGGCTAGAACACTCTTTTGATGGGTAATTTTCACATATGTGCATCAGCCACAAGACAAGGCTAGTGCTACAGCACAACATAATATTCTGTCATGCACGTGCACGGGTCGTTGTCCTTTCAGTATTTCCAAGAATATATTCTTCACTCTCCCAACCCCTGGGGTTCTCAAAAACTCATATTGCCATTTCTATGAAACAAATGATAGTTTCTTGCACTCCAGCATAGACTTTTAGCAACACCGCTGTGAATCCAAACTGGCTATTGACATCTTGCTTGTAGTTTCCCAGTACACTAATAAGAAATATTTTAAGAAACCCCACAGTGTGAAATAATATTGCTTTTTCAGAAAACACATAGATCTATTTAATGCTTAGTGCTTTGCTGCATCTATATGGTAATCCATTATAGCACACTTGAAATAGAAATTAGGTATTACTACTGATCAACACATCAGGGTATCTGTCAGTTCTTTTAACTGATTATCCATAGTTCTTTTTCTTCCCGACTTCCTGCATGACTAGGAATAATGTTAAGTTTAAATCTTAGTTTACACAGGACGCTTGCAAGATCTCTCTCTTCATTTTAACAAAGAACAATAAAAAACACCAAGGTTTGTATTTAAACAAATTCCTCCTGACTTAACTAAAACTGCAATTTCTTTTTAAAAGGCTTTTATTTTTGCCAGCTTAGCTGAGTAATATCCTGATTGGTAGCTCTGCATCTATTGCAGTGTGCCACTCTGCCCTGAAGGAGAATGCAGAGAAAGCCAAGGCTGTACCAAACCTTACACCAAAGATCCCCATGCCCCGATGTTTTCCAGCTGTACCTGCACAGAAGTGAGATGATGAGCATCGCTGCTCGGTAACACACTATGCAGAGCATCTTATTAACCAGCAACAAAATCAAATGTGTTCTTGCTGATTGAATGTGCTCTCAGAGGTGATGTCAATGACAAGTCCAGAATAATGTTCATTCCAGGGGAATGGATTCTGAGGGAAAAAAATAGCTTTCCTGATACAGCCTGTACATAATGAGGAGTTCCTATTAGTCTGCTGCCAGGTGTACCTACCGTAATCCATATCAAATGTAGAACAGCTCTCCTACATCTTTATGTTTAAGACTGTTTGGTGTTACCTGTACAGCAGCTTCAGAAGGTTCAACTATTAAAATCTGCAATAATTCTGAATTTTTTCTGCTGTTACTCACTGATTTAGGTGAGGCCAAGAGCTCAATGAAGTTAGTATGCCTGCAGCAGTTCTACCTCCATAAAGGGAGACCCTATTTATTGCATCCATAAATTATTTACAGTGGGAAAACATCTGCCCAAAGCAAGCAAGACCATATTCTTCCCCAAGAATAACACTATACAAAAAGATCTCCCAAATATACACCGTGTACATTTACAATTTAAAATGGAATGTTAGAAGAATAATGTTATTATAACAATAGATGAATTAACCATAATTACAGCAGAATAAACTGAAGATTGTTCAGAAAGCTATTTTCCGTGAGTTAGAAAGGAGCACTTTTATTGTTATAAAAAAATAAACCCTTCTTAATCTACTGAGCTTGAGAATCAGTCAACCAAGTCTGTGACAGACAACTTTAAACAGGGGAAGTTGTCACCACAGTAAGCAAGAGAACCAAGTAAAAAGCTGGAACAGAACCTAAAACCTGGATCTAAAGCTGAAACTCCCAGTGGTAAGACAATCTACAGGGGTGGAAATTAAGCCACTTACCTGTACAGACACGAAGAAAATCTGAATAGTAAAAATAAAGTTACAG